TTAAGATTCTGGACTGTCAGCTGAGACCGGTTTGGCTCAATGGATAGAGAGTCGGCTTGGGGACTGAAGGGACCTGGGTTCGATTCTGGTCAAGGGCATGTACCTTGATTGCGGGCATGCAAGAGGCAGCTGATCGATGACACTCTCTCATCGATGTTTCTAGCTTTCTATCTCTCTCCCTTCCTCTGTACAAAATCAATAAAATATATTAAAAAAGATTCTGGACTGTCAGTCATTTAAAAAATATCCAAAGGGTCACAAGTTATGTAAGTCCTGAAATGGCTGATGGACATTTCAAACATAGCAAATATCACACATTAACTAGACTTTAAAAAAATCCCAAATTTTGCATCCCCTTTTTAAGGAAACACACACACACACACACACACACACACACACACACACACACACACACACCAAAACACCTAATACTGGTAATTACCCCAGAGGAGTGGCAAGTAGCACCTGAAAGTGTTGTCTGAAGGAATAAACCTTAAAGTGTTTTTGTGTCGAGGATTTGGTTCTGGTTGTGTGGGACTGTGGCTGGGTAGGAATAGCTAGTAGCAGCCAGATCCTCACCCACGAATGGTTAGGGACTCACTTTGGACATTCAGTGAACATAAAGAAAGGGGGTAGGAATTTTGTGTCCCAAGTTGTTTGGGTCAGGGTTGGAAACAGTTTTAGGGTAGGTCTTGATTTCCCTAAAATCCATCTCTCCCTACAAACACTCAGCCAAAGTCAGCGATGCAATGTTCCATTAGCAGAAACATTGTCAATGTTGGGTTGTGAGGTTGCAGCTGCTCAGAGCAAAATTTAAAATTCTATTTGCCTTCTCTCTGCACTCAGAGCCGCCCCTCTCTCCTCCTACCTACCTCCCCCCTTCTACTTTTTTTTTTTTTTTTTTTTTTTTTTTTGCATTCTGTAGGCCTTTCATTCTCCCTGCTTTCCCAACCTCCTTCCCTCCATTGCCTTGGTGCTTCTTACCCTAGAAGGACCGATTGGACCTAGCAGATCGTGGCTTCTCTTGCCCTTTGTTCAGGTGGGGGTAAGAGGTGGGAGGAGAGGCACCTTGCTGGTGCCTGGAAGTGCAGCTGGAGGACCACACCCTCCTCCTGTCGCTATAGAAACTGTGTCAGCCCTTTTTGTGACTCTGGTGCTGAAAGGACTTAAGGCTCTGGACCAGTCCTGAACCACCTTTTACATCAACCTGAAAAAGACATCTCTTTTCATCCTGCTACAATTTTCTTGTCCCAATTCTTTCAAGTTTGGAACAAGAACTGGAGGACTTCCCAAGGATAGATTATAGTTGACCAAAACAGAGCAGACTCGTTTTCCTCTTCAAAGTTTGTGGTTACCAGAATCCATAGAACAAGTTTTGAATAAAGTGTGTTCATTACATGAACACTTTTAAAGCACTTGCTTCTGCACTAGGTTTTAAAAACAAGAAAACTAAGGAAAGTTATAGTTAAACTAGAGGCCTAGTGCACAAAATTCATATATGGATAGGGTCCGTAGGCCTGACCAGCAATCAGGGCCAATCTGTGGGGCAACTGGCAAAGTGATAGGGAGGCACCTGCTGGCACCCTCCTTGGCTGGCCTGGGGGCTGCGCTGCGGGTTAGGGACATCTCCTGCATTCAATGTCTGCCCCCTGGTGGTCAGTGTGAATCATAGCGACCCTGTCCTGCTGTTTAGTTGATTTGCATATTAAGTTTTTATTATACAAGATGATGGCAGGGTGGCCAGAGGGAATACAGTCTGGTCCAAGGAGGAAACATTCATTCAAATAAATCTTTCAGAAAAGCTGAGTTGAATTTGAGTTTTCAAGACAAGTAGGAACTCATAATGTAAAGAAGGCAAATAAGAGCCAACCCGAAGGCCCAGAGTTCTGAGGGCACAATAACATGGGTTTCAGGCAGGGGCCAGACTAATTCAAAATATCTTGTGAGTTTATCAGGCCAAGGTGTATGTGTGTGAATTTTAAGCAGGGGGTGTTCATGCTCAAGCTTTATTTTAGAAACCTCCCTCTGACAATAATGGTATGGAGGGTAGGTCAGAGTAGGTTAAGAATCAAGGGAAGGATGCCTGTAAAAGTAGTTAAGTGATGATGTTTGGAACAAAAGACAAGTCAAATGAGAGAACAGTTTTGAGCAATTGAGGAATTAAAGCTAGGCGATTGGGTGTGAAGGGTGACAATGCCTTAGACACCTGAGTTTGTGGTGATGCCATTTACTAATAAAATACAGGAGGGAAGATTTTGGGGGCAGATGTTATTGATGACTTAATATATCAAATTATCAATGGACAAGGCAACAGGTCTTATGCAAAGTGAGATCTGGATTAAAGATCCTGACATGGCAGTCACTATCACGTAGGTGACTACTGGAGCTTGAAATCACCTAAGTTTTTGGTTTTTTTTTTTAAAGGGCAGAAAAGAATAAAATCATAGAATATGACACCATGAAGGGAAAAATGGGTGTGACAGAAAATTAGAAAGCTGCAAAATAATAAGAGTAGGTAGGGAGGTGGGGTGAAATTATGAAAGTATAGTGTTACCCACACTCAGAGTATGATGAATAAGGTTCTAAAAGATTAGGTGAGAAAAGGTGTACTGGATTGGCAACATTAATGAGCTGATTAGTGCTTTGTGCAAGGCCAGTTTAACAAATTTTATGGTAATTTTCAATAGAAACTATGAATTACAGAGAAAACAGGTTCATAGAGCTTGTGCCAGATTACATCAGTAATCAGTAACTAATTACAGTAATCAGTAAATAATTACATCAGTAACTAATACAGGGTGGGCTCTTAATGTTTACTGTTGAACTGCAATATATAGGGTATCTCAATACTGTATAACTGGAAAATATAGTTTAAAAATGGGGTAGGGTTGGTAAGGTGTTACATGACAATAAAAATATACACTGGATAATAAAAATAGATAATACCAATAAGCAAATGCTTACTTTAATCATAATTCTAAATTACATATTTTTACATGGTTTCATAAGCCAAGAAGAACTGAGCTACATATTACACATTTTTATTTACAGAGATGTTAAGGTAACCGAAGGAGAAATGCATGGCCTCCTCCCTAAGCAAAAGGGAATGTTTGTTGTGAAGTGGCCTAAAGGACAGTCCTCAGGAAAGGAGGTATCAATTCAATTATCTGATCAGACCTAACGAGAAACATTGATGTGAAGGAAACACATTGATTAGTTGCATCATGTACACACCCTAACCCAAGGCTTGGCCAGGGAGAAGCCTGCAGCCAAGGTACCTGCTCTTGGCAGGAATCAAAACTGGGGCCTTTGGGTCAGCAGGCTGACAGACTATCCAGTGAGCCAAATCAGCTAGAGCCACATTACACATTTTTAAAATGGTGCCGAGACCAGTTTGGCTCAGTGGATAGAGTGTTGGCCTGTGGACTGAAAGGTCCCGGGTTCAATTCCGGTCAAGGGCATGTACCTTGGTTGCGGGCACATCCCCGGTGGGGGTGTGAGGGAGGCAGCTGATCGATGATTCTCTCTCATCGATGTTTCTAGCTCTCTATCCCTCTCTCTTCCTCTCTGTAAAATATCAATAAAATATATTTAAAAAAAAATAAAAAAAATAAAATGGTTATTGTAATTTGGAGAATTTTTATTAAAAGTGACCAGGAGTTAGATGACATTTTCACAACATAAAATATTTATTACTATTTTATTCACAAATTCAGATCTAAGTTTCCTAAAAAAACTAAATTAACTAATATAATAGGAATAATTAGGTACTTAACAGCCACCCTCAAAAGTACTGACTTAACATAAAGTGATTACTTTAAAACAGTCCCCTTTTATATTTATAACAAAAGGCTAATGTTTTTGCCTAAGCACTCATTTTAGCATGAAACTAGAGGCCCAGTGCATGAAAATTCATGCACTGTATGGGGGTGGTGGTGTCCTTAAGCCCAGCCTGCCCCTCACAGTCTGGGAGCTCTCAGAAGCAGAAGGTGACCCAGCGATCAGGGGAAGGCAATGCCCCTATCACACCGCTGCTGCTGCTGCCACTGTAACACAAGGCTTGGCTGACCCTGGTTACCTGCACCTTGGGCTGGCCCTGGGTGGCTTGACAGCTGCCATCAGAAGTTTGCCTGTGCCTCGGGCTGGCCCTGGGCTGCTGGGGACTGAGGAGACTCTGGAGGCAGGGGCGCGGAGTGGCTGAGCTGCATGCCTGCTGCCCAGGCGGGGCTGTGGGGACTAGGTACTGCCATCTTGTGGCTGTGGGTGCCACCATCTTTGTGAGGGTGTGACGGTCAATTAGCATATTACCTCTTTATTAGCTAGGATGCAGACAGAGAAGAGACAGATAGATGCAATGGAATCAAGAAAAAGATCATACCAAACTTTTTCATATTTATTACAGGTTTTGACAATGAGTATTTCACAAAATGTCATAAAATTCTATCTGATATATAATAACCATCTATCGCTAAGTAGAAAACACGTCACATTATAGCAACTGTTTTAATGTGGAAATTCATTATGAATTCTTCCTATAAAAATATTTGACTAAAATAATAAGCATCTTGGCAATAAAACTGACAATGTAGCCTAAGTAACATATTCCAGATATATGTCCTGAAAAAAATTGGAATGCTTTCTTTTGCCAGATAAACTCTGAACAAAAATGCCATAAACTAGTCAAAGCTAGGAAGAACCCTCATGTTACTAGAAAATAAAATAGCAAATAATGTGTACTTCCTCCATGTCAAATAGATAAACACTAATGACAGTGATGTATTATATATAAAGATGTAGAATATTCTCATCAGAAGGAAATGATATTACAAGATAATTCTTATAAACTAATGTCTTATCAAACTGTTGAGTAGCTTTTCAGAGAACATAATCACAAAATAGGTAGAGATAATTTATGACGTTAAAGGATTCCTTTATATTACAATATAAACACACTTGTCAAACTGTGATTCTCTTAAAGAAACATTTCCTTACAAACACACTCAACTATTAGCAGTGTTTGGATGCAAAGGTTTAACACGTGCTAATCTAGACAAGCCAAGGCGGAGACTCTGATTTGGAGACTTAACAAACGCCCCTGCCAGTGGGCTGCTGCTGGTGCTGCTCCTTCCGGATACTGCTGAAAGAAAACACATCACCTGATGCTGATGATGTTAGAAATCTCTTAAAAAAAACACTTATAAAACAAAAGCAAAAAATATAGTTAAGCACTATTCTGCTATACAGGTTCTATCAAGTTATAAACAAGATCAAAATAACAAGATCTAAACAAGATCTAAAGACCAGAAAAAAATATAGTATTGTCCATTTTCAAACATCCCCAGAAGGCAAGGTCATGATTCCAAAACTTTAAGAGTAAAAGCTGAAATACATAAGTTAAAAGTAAATAACATTGGTTGTAGATGCACAAAAAGATGAATGTAATAATTTCTAAAATAGAATAAAATTTTAATGCATTTTTTAAAATCCTATACTTTTTACAAATACTCTTTTGAAAGAATCTATTTTTTCAATTACTAAATCACTTTAAACATGACAAATGCTATTTTAATTTATTTATACAGGCTTCATTTATGCTACCATTCTAATGTAGCAATTATTTCCAGCAAGTATTAAATTTCAAATTTTAACCACTTAAATGTCCATAATTGATCATGATTGTAATCAAAGTGCAACTGTGTGTACTTTTCTTCAAGAAAAGATTTATGAATATTTCCATGTTTCTAACCATCTGATTTATCATTCTTAATTGCATGTATGTGTCATATATCAAATTCTTTTAACAAACTTTTGAAGTGTTTACCATTTTCATATAAAGTTATAAAAATCTGGCCACTTATACTTTTTCTACTTTTGAATTCTTTTTAAGGAATTAATTCCTAAGACTAGTTCCTAGGCCAAAGGACAGGTTTATTTTTATGAATCCTGTCAAGCTGTTATACCAATAAAGGATTTATAGTAAACTAGAGGCCCGGTGTATAACATTCATGCACTGGTGGTGGGGCCCTCAGCCCTGCCTGTCTCTCTCAGTCTGGGACACCTTGGGGGGATGTCCATCTGCTGGCTTAGGCCAGCTCCTTAACCCTGCCTCGGAGGTGGGAAAGACTCCTGCCACTGTTGCTGCACTCAGCCAGAGGCAGCTCTCCCCCTGTGGGAGCACACTGACCACCAGGGGGCAGCTCCTGTGTTGAGCATCTGCCCCCTGGGGGTCAGTGCATATAATAGTGACCAGTCGTTCCGCCGTTTGGTTGATTTTCATATTAGAGTTTTATTATATAGAATAATTATACCTGCTACCCTAAAACCCAGAGTGCCCTAAATTATATTGCTTTATTACTTTCTAGTTTGAGGTATAAAATAGTATTTTATTGCTTTAATTTATATATCCTTAATTACCAGTGAGATTGAAATTCTTTTCATATTTATTTCTAGTTGTATTTCTTGGAACTATTAATATGTTCATGTCTTTGGTTCATTTTCCCATTGGGATCTTGATGATCTTCTCATATTTGAATAAAACAATAACTAATGGGAAACCTGAGATCAAATCTAGCTCTCAGATATATTGGTCCACATGGTGTAAAAAAATAATAATTTTGAAAACTAGATTTCACATTAAAATCTAGATCTCTGATTTCTCTTGAAAAAAATCAGGTCTGGAAATAATCCTGCATGTAAACAATTAGGTGGAGTTGAGCAACAGCTGCTTCTTACCAAAGGGGTGTGAACTCCCAAGTCCAACAATCCTTTCTCATCTAAGTTTATGACTCAGGTCCAATTCTCACATTCCTTGTCCTCCCTTTCACACAATGAATCTATGAGCACTTTGTGATTTATATTAACTCTATCCATGCATGCCATATCATTCCTTTATTTACTTTCTATCTTTATTATGCTACCTTTAAATTTCTTGTCATTATATCATTTTTTTTAAAAATTCCTTTTGTTGGGGAATCACTAATTATTCTCAGGAGAAATACATTGAGGATCATCCTTCTAATGACACAGCATCATTAATTCTTCCTTCTTTCCTTCTCCAAAAAAATTTTAAGTCCTCATTAAAATCTTAGATGTTTTACATGCTGTGGGGAGAATCCAAGATGGCTGCACAGGTAAACACCTAGCCGCAGCTGCACACAACAATTTCAATAAAATACAACTAAAATATAAAATGGACATTACTGAGAACTACAGGAAAGTCGACTGGCTGGAAATTCTACAACAAGAAGCAAGGAGAAAACCAGAAGGAAGAGCAGAGGAGCTGTAAAAGCCTAAGGTACAGAGACATGTGGCGTGCGGAGAGGACGGAGCGGAGAGGAGGGGCGGCTAAGTGGCTGGTGTTCCCTAGCAGGAAGGAGATAAAAGCTCTGACTGTGCTGGGCCCTAGTTCCAACTGCTCTGAACCCCAGTTCTAGGCCAGACCCTGGTGACCCAGGCTCAAACAGAGGGAGCTGGGCTGTAAGGCGGAACCCCAGGGGAGCGGCGAAAGGAGATCCTGGAGGCGCGCACATTGCGTGCAGAGAAGGGACGGTTGGCTGTGCCGCAGGATTGCCCTGGCAGGAAGGAGACGGGCTCAGACTGCTCTGAACGCCACCGCCAACTCCACTTCCAACTGAACTGAACTCCAATACCGAGCTCATTGGGGCAGAGCCTAGACTGTTTGGTAGCAGGCGAAAATCAAGGGCACCTCAGAGGCGCTTGCAACGAGTACTGAAGGACCCTGAGACTCAGGAGCCGCATAGGGCGGGGCTGACGGAAGCCAAAGCTGTAGGCTCCACCCTGAAACCCCGCCCCATCAGGGAAGCTGGGAAAATGCCGAGACAACGAAATAGATCATAAACAAAAGAAATGGAGGACAAAAAGCGACTGCATATAGAGTTCAAATCTACGCTTATAAGGTTTTTCAAGAATTTCCTAGAAAAGATCGATAAGACCTATGAGGATATGAAAAGGGATCAACTAGAATAAGGAATCAGTAAGAAATGATAAGGGATCAACAAGCAATAAAGAATACATTGTCTGAAATAAAAAAAACATTATACAGAATCCTAAAAACAGAATGGAAGATCGCAAGAAACAAGTCAAAGATCTGGAACATAAAGAGCCAGAAGACACTCCTCCGCATAAGCTAGAAGGCAAGAGAATCCAGAAAATTGAAGATAATGTAAGAAACGTCTGGGACAACTTCAAGAGAACCAACATCAGAATTATGGGGGTCCCAGAAGAAGAGAGAGCAAGATACCAAAAACATACTGAAAGAAATAGTGACAGAAAACTTCCCCCACCTGGAGAAAGAATTAGACTTACAAGTCCAGGAAGCACACAGAACTCCAAACAAAAGGAATCCAAAGAGGACCACACCAAGACAAATCATAATTAAAATTCCAAGAGCAAAAGACAAAGAGAGAATATTAAAAGCAGCAAGAGCAAAGCAGGTAGTTACCTATAAAGGAGCACCTATACGATTGTCAGCTGATTTCTCAACAAAAACCATGCAGGCCAGACGGGAATGGCAAGAAATATTCAAGGTGATGAATAGTAAGAACCTACAGCCAAAGATAATCTATCCAGCACAGCTATCACTCAGAATTGAAGGTCAGATAAAGAGCTTTAGTAATAAAAAAAAAGTTAAAGGAGTTTATCACCAGCAAACCAGAATTATATGAATTGCTGAAGGGGGTTCTTTCGGAAGAGAAAGTAAATAAAGATAAAAATTATGAACAACAAATACGTAACTATCAACAAGTGAATCTAAAAACCAAGGGAATTAAAAAAAAAATCTGATGAACAATATTAACTGTTGAATATAATAGAATCAGAGGTATGGAAGGGGAGTGAACTGACGATTCTTGGGGAAAAGGGGAGAGGGGGATGTGGGAAGAGACTGAATATAAACTGTGCGCCTATGGATGAGGACAATGGGGGGTGGGGAAAGGGCAGAGGGTGGGGTGGGAACCTGGTGAAGGAGAGCAATGGGGGGGGGGGACACTTGTAATAATATGAACAATAAAAATTTATTTAAAAAAATAAAATAAAACATGCTGTGAAAAAAAAATCTTAGATGTTTTAATTGGAAAAGATATTAAAGATTATATAGTGCCTAATATTTCAGATGATAGAATGAAGACTCAGAAATTAAATAATCATGTCTCAGGACTAAATCTATCTATTAATAACTAGTTATGACTAGAGGAGTGACCACTGAACATCACTGAAAAGAAGTAAAATAAACCTGAATAAACTTGGAATAACTCAAATGAGGAAAGATTTATTAGAAAGAGAAAATTGCATAAAGAGAAGCTGTGACAGAAGAATACAAACACCATGTTTAAGGGCCAAAAATTTTCACTGGAATAGAGTCAATTGGATGGACAAAGGCAAGTGGAGACAGAACTATTAGGAAGGCACTAATAGTTAGGATATAAAATGAACAAGACTGAGTTAGGATTTTAGTAATGTCAAAAGGGTGAAGGTCAAAGAAATTTTGAAGTATCAGTGAGACTTAGCTATGGTACAAAGAAAACAAACAAACAGAAAATAAGGTCAAGTTTGGTTTGTACGAGACAGAGGTTGAGTTTGCTAGGGCATTTGCTAAATGCTGGAATTCCCACATATGAGCCCTAATGCTTCTTCAGTCGGACTGTGGAGGTCAGCAAGTCTTGAGCAAACAGATTTGTTGCTAAAAACATGTATAGGAATCTTAACTGTTAATACTCTTTGACACCATAATTCTTTTACTAGGAATTTATCCTAAGAAAATAATCAAGATGTGCCCACAGACTTATATAAAATAAGGATGTTTGTACTTATTGCAACCTTATTTATAACATTAAAAACTAGTAAATAATCTCAATGCTCAATATGAAGGAATGATAAAATGATGAATAAATGCAAAACCTCGGTTTTGAAGAAAATGTAATACCTATATATACCATTTACAATGAGGAAAACAATCTACCAGTGGTAATTTTCCAAGCCCCTGCCCTTGATTGATAAATATACCATACCTGGTGGGACCCACTTAGGTCTCTTGCTTTCAGTTGAAGGACTGTGTATTTGTAATGGTTTCCTAGTTGCCTCTGAAGAAGGAGAAACCTTTTTTGATGAAAGCTGAGATCCTGATTTAACAGCAGCTGGAGCAGAGTCTACTGAAGTCATTTATTAGAAAAACACACATAAAATAGATTTTAAATCCAGCATGTATATGTAAAAATTATAGTTATATAAATTTAAAAAGCAGTATTGTTTTGAAAAACTTATTAATCAATAAATATTTATTGAAAGCCTAAGAATAACCATTTTTTATGAGCATTTATATGATAGGCAGTGTAGTAAGCACATCATAAACATTATATTTAACCCTTACAGCAACTCTGATACAGATATTACTATCCCCAATGTCAGCAGCTAGGGAACAGAGGTTGAGCAAACTGCCTATGGCTTGATCACCAGTAAACAAAACAATAGGATTAGGAAGCAGGTCTGACTCCAAAGTTCATATTTCTAAACATTGCATGAAGTGTCTCATCAGTATTTCACTGAGTCAATATATTAGGATCTAGGGTCTCAAACAGTGAAACTCATCGGTTGTGCTCCCAAGGAATTTCTATGGTCTAGTCACTGGACTTTAGAGGAAAGGACAGCAAAATAAAGAGATGTGTATGCTGCAGTGTGATAAAGAGATATGACAGACTAAAGTAGGGTGGAACCTACACTCTGTGTATAAATCTGCGTAGGTTTAAAAGTCACAGGGAGGTAGATGAGGTTAATTTGAACCAAATCAAGGCTGAAAGGTAAAGATGAGTTAGAGAAAGTTTTCCAGACAGAGGGAGTAAGAGCAAAGCTGGAGAAGGCAGCAAGTTCCAGGGCAGCTACTGGTTCAGTATGGCTGGAGCCAGATAGCAAAGGTTGGAAAGTTGAGAGAAATAGACAGGGTACAGATCACTGATTGAGAGCTTTGCATACCAGTGAAGGAGTCTTGCATTAATTTCTCTCAGGAGTACTTGCACTATGAAACATCTTTCTGATGGTAGTGTATGGCAAGTAGACTGCTGAGAAGGCTCTTATGGTAATCCGAACTAAGGGCCTGAACTAAGAGGGAGAATGGAGGGGGAAAACAGCAGATCAGATATCTTTTAGTAATCAAATGAGGGAGGTGGTGATGGAGATGAAATAATGATGACTTGCAAGTTCCTGTCATGAGCACACTGCTTGATGGTGCCATTAACCCCGAGAATAAACACAGGAAAGAATCAGTTTAGATTTTTTTTTTTGAAGGGGGGGGAGATGAAGGAAGGTGGAATATAAATTGATTTTCAGATAATGCTTGCTTTGAGATACCTAGAGGGGCATCTAAAAGCATATAAATATGAAAATTCTTGCTCTAATAATATTAACATCTACATTCCCTCAATCGGCATTGTTCAAACTTTTCTACAATGATGGAAATGTTTTATGTTTTGTTCTATGCAAATAATTGAGTAGCCACTAGCCACATATTATTAAGCACATGAAATGTGGCTAGCAAAATTAAAGAACTGACTTTTGGAGGAGAAATTAAGATGGTAGCATAGGTAAACATCTAAACTGCAGCCTTGCACAATTTCAAAAATACAACTAAATTTAATATCTTTGAGCATCAGTTTTCTCATTGCAAAATGCAGGTGATAACTGCTATCTCAGAGGGTGGCTGTCGGTGCTAAAGGGAGGTGATACACAGGAAGTGCCAGATAGGTAGTGGAGCTCAGTACTCTTGTTGCTGTCCTGCCTTCCCCACCCCACCCTGCTTTCCTCTATGTATTTTAACCAGAAATGAACACTGGCAAACTGTAAGGAGACCAAAGGCAAAGATAAGAGAAACTCACTAAATAAATTAAATACATTTTCTTTATAAATGTATTTTAAACTAAGCTTACCTAATGCATTACATTTAGATTTAGTTTTCTTTTCTTTCTTTATAACTGGAGATTTAACTTTCATTTCTTTCTTTTTAATTTCTTTGCTTTTTCTCATAGTGAAGTCTTTGTTATTATCTTCGCTCTCACTAAAATCAGAATCATCTTCAGAATCTTCACCTAAAACAAAAGATTACATGTTTCAGTTTTGTTATAAATAGTAAGGCTTCTACGGCCTTGACTTTACAGCTTTTGCACTAGATTCTTATGTAAATTTTTGTGCTAAGCCATTTCCTGTGTGAAACACTGCAATTATGGAGAGCATGGTTCTGGGTTTGAATCCTGGCCCCTCCACCTACATGTTGTTGTGACCTCAGACAGGTTGCTTGCTAACTGCACTGTGCCCCAATTTCCCATGTATAAGGTGGGAATAACCATAAAATCTACATTACAGGGTTGTTGTGTGGACTAAATGGGTTAATATAAGTAAAGCATGTACAATAACATCTGGCTTACAGCAAGCAAATTAGAATTGTTTGCTATTACTATCTTCTATATACACTGAGTGGCCATAATATTATTATCTCTAAATGCATAATAATCTGGCCACTCAGTGTATTTGTATCTCAAATGGGTACCAAAAGTATTCTAGACTTTTGCTGGAGATCAACCATCTATTTGCCCTGAGCTTTCTATCAGCCAGTGCAAAGGGGAAAATTGATCAGGTGCACGATTTATAGTATCTTTGATATCAAATAAATAAGGTACTTAAGAGAAGTACACTGAGTGGCCAGATTGTTATGCATTCAGAGATCATAATAATCTGGCCACTCAGTGTATATAAAAGCCAAGTGCCCAGAATGACTGGTCTCTATGACTGGTCCGATATGGGCCATTATTGGCCTCCTGAACCTCCCTCTACCCCTCCCCGCTGCCAGCTCACTCCTGATTGCCCCTACCCCCCGATTGGGGGCAGGACCAGCTGGCCAAAGGCCTGTGGCCTAGCCCCCATCAGCCCCATCAGGGCGGGACAGCCAGACCCCACCCATGCACAAATTCATGCACCAGGCCTCTAGTTCTCATTATAATTTCCCATTAGTAATCTTTACTTTTGATTTTACCAGTTTAGCTCAGTAACTTTTGAAAACAATGGAAAGGTATAACATTGGCTACTCTTTCAAAATGATAACCTTGGTGGTATTAATACAGTACACCTTCCCTTAATCACATAAACTTAGCATTCTAGAACAGAAACACATTGGGAATTGAGGAGACTAACCATATGACAACAAGCTTAATAGATCCTATATAATGAAAGCCTAATATGCAAATTGACCGAATGGTAGAATGACTGGTCACTATGATGTGCAGTGACTCCTCAAAGGGAGGTGACCGGTGGCTGTGGTGGGGTTAGGGCTAGCAAGTGGGCGTCACCAGGCCAGCTAAGACAGGTGCCAGCTGGGGAGCCCCCTCCTCAATCGCATCACCGGTCACCTCACAGATTGGCCCTGACACTGGCCAGGCCTAGGGACCCTACCTGTGCATGAATTTCATGCATTGGGCCTCTAGTAATGCTACACAATTTCATTTGTGACATACCTTTAATTTCCTACAAAGTCTTATCTGGGATGATACAAACCAGTGATATACTGTTAAGCACAGATACTCTGGGAAAAAGTATGGAGAATACTCAATAGTTAAGTGCTACATGCTTACTGCAAAAGATATAGACCACATACAAAAAAGTATTAAAGAAAAATAAGGTCCACTCCCTAATCTCACCACTCAGAGATAACCACTGTGTTGCCTACCATTTATAATCTCTACCTATCTATATGAAATATATTGTATATAAAAAATACATGAGAAATTTCAAACATATTCAACAGTAGATAATAAACTATTCAACAATCCTCAATATTTTGATGCATTTGTTTCATCTACCTTTTCTTCTTTTCTCATCCCTTTCTTTCTTGGAGTTTATTAAATCTGAAGTATCGTATCATTACCCTCTGTATACTTCAAAATGCATCCCTAAAAAACATGGGCTTAAAAAACACACAATGTCATCATCATATCTATCAATTTAATAATAGCTTCTTGGTATTACCTTCTATCCAGTTTATATTAATCACTTTTTATATAGAGTACTATCCCCTCTTTTTCAGGACCCTCATATCTTTGACTTGTTAACCAAGTCAGTTGTCCTAGAAAACATCCCACATTCTGGATTTGTCTGTTTTTCCTTCCGCATGGTGTCATTTAATTTGTTCTTGCATTTTCCGTGAGCTGGAGTTTCCTCAGGACGAATTAGAATCAGGCTCACCTTATTATTTTTTGATAAGAATACACTTCATAGGTGATGCTCTATATTTCATGTTATATCATATCAGAAAGCACATAATGTGGTTGTCACACTCTTTGTTGGGTCAGTTGACACCAGCCTGAATTCTCCACTGTAAAGATCCTCATCAACCTCCTAAAGATCTTTGCCTAAATTAACGATGGTCATTATGGTCTTCAAATTAGAATTTCCTTATTCTAACATTCTTTCCAAACACAAAGAAAATGTTTTAAAAGAGCAATCAACCCACATATTTACATGATGATTATTGTTATATGGAATTAGCCATATAAGGCCAGCAGATGTCATAAAGGTTGTCATAAGTAGCACCTTGCAAAATCAAGTTTTTTCCAAAGTCCCAAAAAGATCTAGGTTCAGAAGGGCAAGTAGTGGAAAGTAGTGGAAAGTTTGTAGTGCAAGTAGTGGAAAGTTTCTCCAGAAGTTTAGAATATAAAATCTAGGAGGACAAAACTTCCTGTATATCCAACAGTTCTGGTATCGCATGTGTTCTTTTCTTGGCTGAAGAGAATAAACAGTAGGAACTAAGTTTCTCTGTTGATCAAGCTTATTGAAAAACTAATAGCCCTGCAAATCCGTACGCCAGTATCTCTACAGTGACCGGCTGATCGGTGCCTGCTGCCCAGAGGCCCTCTGAGGCAGGGGTGGAACACTTGCCCCATCGCCGCAGCGATGAAGCAAGCATTCCGTAAGACCGCTCATGCTGCCCGCTCTCAGTGGACACTCCCCTGGGACTAGGGGACTCAAGTGGGGCTGAGAGGACTGGGCTTTGCCATCTTGTATCTATGGGTGCTGCTATCTTTGTAACAGAGTGATGGTTAATTTGCATATTGTCCTTTTATTAGATAGGATGACATCCCACTGATCTTCATCAGTCAACTGAGAAAGCAGTTAAATAATCTGGAGCTCCCAGAATCCCAAATTATTAGCAAGCTGGATTAGAAAATCTGGAAGGCTCAAACATCAAACACTGAGGTTATAGATTCTGGGGATCATTAGATTTTTCTTAAGAAAAGTCTTATATTCCCTCTAATTTGCACTTTTCTTTTTCAACTGAAGTTCACAGATGAGCCTTTCTCTTCTCATCTAGGGTAAGCCAACGCAGGGAGAAGCTGACACTTACAGAAAAGAACCCTGCTAAACAAACAAACAAACAAAGCCCCTACAGGTTGTCTGAACTGAACTGATAACAGTTGTACATTCTAGTATAGTAAAAATCAACTCTGAGGAGTTTGGAGAGTTGTTCATCATACTGGGTTTAGGATGAATGAAAATAAACTGACTGTATTGCAACTTGAAGTAAAATAAGCAAGAAGAAATATGTTTGTATTTCAATTTAAGGTATAGCAGGCTTGGCTGGAGTAGATTAGAAGGTCTACAAGACAGTGTAAAGCTTTTGCTTTCTTGGGTTGGAGGACAAAAGAGGAGTCAAAAAATTAGAGGCAATGAAAAAATTTTGCTTGAAGCTTAGTTTGTATATCCTCAGCACAGGTTAGAGGGCAAGTTATCACTTCTCAGCTAATGAGCTAGCTCCCTGTAAGGGTCGAAGGACTGTTTCTCAGGACTGGGCCACATGTCTTTTTATAGGGAGAACAGCCATACTTAAGTTTGGTGGAAGTAATAAAAATGAAACAGAGAGAACAAAACAAAACAAATTAGCTCTCAAAGATCTAAAGAAGCAGTCATTTTAATCTATAAGTGAAGCAAGAATATCAAGAACTTTTGTATCTTGCAAAAAAGAACTTAAGAATCTTTAAAAGATTTTAAAATTGATTTTTAGAAAGAGGAAGGAAAAGGGAGAAAAACATCGATATGAAGCAACATCAATCAGCTGCCTCCTGCACTCCCCCTACCAGGGATTGAACCCAAAACCTGGCATGTGCCCTGTCTGGGAAATGAACTGGCAACCTTTCAGTGTATGGGATTATGCCCAACCAACTGAATGGGCTACACCAGCCAGGAAACAGAACCTAAGAATTTCTAAGCATCAATTACTGCATAAGCTACTAGCATCATTTTCTCCCAATGTCTCACCCAGACTAACATCCAATAACTCAAACATTCCATTAATTGACAAATAATTTTTATCACAATGGCTTCCCATTGTAATTATTCTCCTGTTACAGTTAAAACAACCCTCATTATCAGAATTTCAGTAAAATTACCATTTGACAATCATGTTTTCCCCAAACAACTACAGGTCTTGAATCTAAGGAAAAATAATTTTCAGTTAGGAATATTTTTTTCCGTTCTCATATCCAGAATAACTTTGGAAGCACACATATTTCAACAAATGTTTTCTTTCCTGTTTTTCACGTTTTCTATATCCCAAGTTACTGTTCAACTGTACAGAACTCAAAATTAAAATAATTCTTTCAAAACTATGACTTATAAGTCATCTAAAAAATATTTGCTTATGCAAAATTGAGTAAGAAAAAAACCTAGAACCAAGTTATTCACTTTTTAAACTCATTATTTCCTTTAAAATGTTTTAAATTATGGTTAAAAAAAAAAAAAAAAGAAAAAACCCATAACATAAAATTTACTAACCTAAGCATTTTTAAGCATACAAATCAGTGTTAAGTACATATATTCACATTTTTGTGCAACAATCCTCCAGAACTTTTACACCTTGCAAAACAGAGATTCAGTACCCGTTAACTCTCTATTCCTTCTTCCCCAGTCTCTACTAATCACCATTCTACTTCTGTTTCTATGAATTTGACATTTTAGAATCCTCATATAAGTGGGATCACAGTAATTGGCTTATTTTACTTAACATAATGTCTTCAAGGTTTATCCAAGGTATAGCATGAGACAGGACTTCTTTCCTTTTTAAGGTTGAATAAAATTTGCCGAAACCGGTTTGGCTCAGTGGATAGAGCATCGGCCTGTGGACTAAAAGTTCCCAGGTTCAATTCCAGTCAAGGGCATGTACCTTGGTTGAGGGCACATTCCCAGTAGGGGGTGTGCAAGAGGCAGCTAATGGATGTTTCTCTCTCATCGATGTTTCTAGCTTTCTATCCCTCTCTCTTCCTCTCTGAAAAACTCAGAGAGGAAGAGAGGGGGGGTGGGAATTCCATTGTATATATATACCACATTTTGTTTATGTATAATCATCAATGGATATTTGTATTGCTTCCATTTCTGGGCTTTTGTTAATAATGCTGCTATGGGTGTTCAAATATCTGAGACCCTGCTTTCAGTTCTTTTAGATATATACCCAGATCTGGAAATACTAGATCATATGGTAATGCTGCTTTTTAAATCCTCACCTGAGGATATTTTTTCCATTGACTTTTTTAGAGAGAGTGGAAGGGAGGAATAGGGTGATGGGGGGGTGGAGTAGGTAAGAGAAAAAGAGACGGGTGGGAGAAAGGAAGAAAGAAACATCAATGTGAGACACTTGGATTGAGTTATGTGCCTCAATTGGAGCTGGTGAATTGATCCTGCAAACCAGGTATGTGCCCTTGACTGGGAATAAAATCCAAGACCCATCAGCACAGGTCATTTGCTCTAACCACTGAGAAACACCAGCTAGACGGACAGTTCTATTTATTATTTTTTTTAGTAACTGCTATACTGTTTTCCATAATGGTTGCTTCATTTTACATTTCTACCAATAGTGCATAAGAATTCTAATTCCTCTATACCATTACCAACACTTGTTATTTTCTGTTTTTAATATCCTAATAAGTTATGATGTGAAATCTCATTGTGGTTTTGATTTGTTTATGTCTAAAATATATAGTGCACATAATACTCAAATATTGACACTGATTAGTAATGTTTAGCCTCTTTTCATGTTTTGGCTTTTTAGCCATTTGTGTATAATCTTTAGAGAAATGTCTATTCATGTCCTTTTAACAGTTTTATTAGAGTTTAAGGTGAATGAAAATAAACTGAGCGTTTTTATGTTTTAAATTTTTTGTTTTGTTTTGTTTATACTAACCCAAGGATATTTTTCCATTGATTTTTAGAGAGAGTGGAAGGGGAGGGGGGAGAAAGAGAAAGAAAAGCATCAATGTGAGAGGGATACCTCGATTGGTTGCCTCCTGCACATGCTCTAACCAGGTCAGGGCTGGAACTTGCAACCCTGGTATGTGCCCTTGACCAGGAATCAAACCATTCGGTGCTCAACCAACACTCTAACCGCTAAGCACATTTCCAGGGCCAAAGGCAATTTTAAAGTCACTATTCAAATCTGGATTTCCATAAAAACTTACTATTATAAAATCGTTTGAGAGATTATCTGAAGTTGGAATAAAAATAACACAATGGTAATCGTTTTAAATATCTATCACCCATTAGAAACATAACTCATAAATTCCAAAAGCTCAACAAGCAAAGCAAATGATTTCACTTCTAAAAACATAGACAACGTTTTGGTCCTTGATTAATTTTGCTAGTTTGCTAAGTAGTCTTGTAATTTATAACTTCAGAACTGTTTCCTGTTTTTTCTGACAGGCATGCATAATGATATTCTGGGGGTGTTACAATTATTATCCCTGGAAAAGACATTGAAATTGCCAAGTAGGTATTTTGATTATATTGTGTTTTTTTTAAAATATTAAGTAACCTTTAGTTGGGAAGCATTTAGTCCATGCTCTACTATGCTCTGGTATTTTCTTTCACTGGCTACTTTTTGGCACTCCATTTATATTAGTGGTTCCCAAAGTAAGATCCATAGACTACCTGTTCTGGGATTACCTGTCATGTAGAAGGGCAGGGATTGGTTAACATTGGTTAATAAGGCAGATTTCTTGGCTCTACCCTGCCTTTCTCTTCTTCATGGCTCTGCTAGTGGCACTGGACACATTATGTTTAGCAGGTCTTAAATAACATTGTTCCGTTATTCTCTTGAACAACGTTGTAATGTTGAGATGCTACAGAAACTTAACTCTTGTTTATATCAGTTAGCCTATGGTAAAATTGGTTTTATTTTACATCATTTCGCTTTAAGTAAGAACTTACCATATTTGATTATTGTCCATTCCCCTCACTCAAATTTAAGCTACTAAAGAGATTTCTTTTTTCACTGCTGTATCTCTGATGTCTACAATATAGTGTACATAATTTCAGTGTAGCCACTGAAATATTTGTGGAATAACTGTTGATTAGCAAATCTATTATTGTTTGTCCTTTATTATTTGTCAACAGCATGTTAAAATCTATCAAACCATATCATCTGATTTAGAATAAATTGATGGAATTATTCATTTTAATCTTTAGTTAATATTATGATGTACTATCAAGGTCACTATGCCTTCCCATTTACCCTACTTTCTGAATGAGTCTGAAAACAACTGTCATAATAAAATATAGATTTCATATCACTTCTATCCAAAATATTTCATTAATTCCTATTACTTACAGAAAGAAGTCTACGCTCCTTGGAATGGGTCTGAGATGTTCTATAATTTAGTGCTTGCCTGCCTCTTCAGCCTCTTCTGTGATATTCTCCCCTGCAGACCTCACCTGTCTATCCCCTTATTTATGCCTATCAGTCAGAAATGCTATCTTCCCTCTGTAGTCTGCCTAAATCCACTTTTAAGGCATGGCTTACAGGTCATCTCCAGGTAAAGCTCTTCCCCCAAATACCAAAGCTGAGTTCAGTTGTCCTATGTGTTCTTCAAGTTTGTTTTTAGCACAGCACTTTACATACATTAATGGTCTCTGAGAACATTTTACTAAATTTCCATGGAATTTGGAGGCAGGATGTAACTTACCAGTTGCAAAGTCTGGTTCGGAGTCATTGGCACTGTCACCATCACTGCCTTCCAAAAGAATCTTCCTTTGCTGTACCACAGCTTTAGATGCTGCTTTTCTTCTCCCTTGAGCGCCATGAACATCATCTTCCTCAGTTATCTTATCCAAATCTTCAGGCAGGCATAAAAATCAATGGAAAACTTTTTGTGACAGGCAATATTTACAGAAGCGAGAATAGACTCCAATTACATCGCTGTTTTAATTTTCCCAGCTTCATCCTTACCCTGCTTCTTGTAATATACCGCAGAGCCCAATCTAAGTTAATCACATTATACCTGTCTCCTAACAACAGAGTATGGTTTAAGTCAAGAACCCAAAATGAGAGTCTTTCCCCAAGAATTTTCAAACTGAAGCTGGAAAAATACAGCCTCTTTCTTCAGTGGTCAACTGCTGTTGATTAGAAGCTATAAGTAGGTACTCCTGACCCTTCATGAGGAACTAATTGGATCTACAGTAAGAGAGAAGAAAACCAAAGAAAAATGAAGAGAACCTTGACAAAATTAAAGACCTTGGTTCTAGCTACAGTTTCAGGAATTAAAATACAAGATGGAAAAATAGCATTGTTGTAATAAACAAAAATTGTCACTATAAAAAAAACTTACCTCGTGCTCGCTTCGGCAGCGCATATACTAAACACACACACACACACACACACACACACACACACACACACACACAAAAAAAAAAAAAACACCAAAAAAAAACCAACAACAACAACAAAAAACTTACCTAAATAATCACTGGCTACACTGCAATTGGAGATATGGGGAGACTTATCCATTGTTTCTCTTTCACTATTGTCACGTTTTTCACTGCCTAAATATAAGGAATAGATAAGTACCTTAATCAACCAATGTCTAGAAGTAGGAAGATTAGAACTAAATGTAATAGCATCCAGATATATACAAGTGATCCAAACTCAGACTAGCACTTTACTTGGAGAGGCGGCATAGTGTTAGGAGTTTAGGCTCTGAAATCAGTTAATCAGACTTAAGTTCAAAGTCAGGTTTTACCAATTAAACTGGCTATATGACCAGGGAAAAGTTGCTTATCCTCTCTAAAACTTAATTTCTTCATCTATAATATGGAGATAAAAATAGTGTGGGCAATTCCTCTGGCCAGTTTGATTCAGTAGATAGTCAGCCTGTAGTCCACAGGGTTCCGGGTTCAATTCCAATCAAGGGCACATATCTCAGTTACAGGGTTCTACCCAGCCCAGGCCCTGATCGGGGCCCATGTAGGAGGCAACCAGTTGATGTGTTTCTCTCACATAGATGTTCTTCTCTTTTCTTTCCACTTTCTCTAAAAATCAATGGAGAAAGTGTCTTCAAGTGAGGATTAAAAAAAATTTTTTTTTTAAATAGTGTGGGAATTAAATGAGATTATTATGTGGGATTAAGTGTCAATCACATATGAAAACTGCTTGCTGTAATGCCCAGTACGTAGGAAACAGTCAGTAAATCCTAATCTATAAAAAGCTAGGGGCTGTCATGACAGAAACAACCAATGGATGACCGAACACAGGCTGCGTGGGGTGACGAGGCTAGCAGAGGGATTAGTGATGGGTGACTGAAAGACTAAACAGCAAGCTGAATGAGGCAACCAAGCCAGCAAGGGGGATAGCTGGGGGGACCAGGCCAGTGGGGGTGACAGTTGGGGTGACCAGGGTGGCAGGGGTGGACTGTTAGAGGAGATCAGGCTGGCAGGCAGATGAGCAATTATGGGCAACTAGGCCTGCAGGGAGGGACAGTTAGGGGCAATAGTCTGGCAATCAGAGGCAGTTAGAGATTATCAGGCTGGAGGGGGAGGGGGCAGTTAGGAGCGAGCAGGCAGGTAGGCAGGCAGGCAGGTGAGCAGTTAGAAGCCAGCTCCTAGCAGGCGGGGCTGGTGCGGCCAGGCCCGGAGCAGCGGCTGCCAGGCTGGGAGCGGCCAGGCCCGGGGGAGCAGTCGGGTCGGGTGCGGCCAGGCCCGGAGCAGCGGCTGCCAGGCTGGGAGCGGCCAGGCCCGGGGGAGCAGGCGGGTCGGGTGCGGCCAGGCCCGGAGCAGCGGCTGCCAGGCTGGGAGCGGCCAGGCCCGGGGGAGCAGGCGGGTCCGGTGCGGCCAGGCCCGGAGCAGCGGCTGCCAGGCTGGGAGCGGCCAGGCCCGGGGGAGCAGCAGCCAAGTCCAGAGCAACTAGGTCGGGAGCGGCAGTGACCAGACCCGGAGCAGCTGGTTGTGGAATGAACCAGAGCAACAGAGGCCAGGCCCTGAGCAGCCAGGCCCAGAACAGCTCGCTCCTTGCCTGCCCCTGCCCCACAGCTGCTTCTCAGACATGGCTGGAAACTTTCGTGGGAACTTGAGTGTCTGCTGAATCAAGTGATGAAGGCTTAGATCTGGATGTGTTGAGTTAGTTTAGGACTGGGGTGTTGATCTGTGAGTGCCTTGGGTGGGGCCTGGATGAGGCTGGTTGACCTAGTGGGAAATGTCTTTTGTGTGAAGTGTATCATTGGGCATGTGGAGGTATTATTGATATGAGAAAATGCTAAGTAACTGATTTACTATCTGAAAAGGGATTTACTATTGGGGAAATTGAGGGAAGAAGAGACTGAACATAAACTGCACCTATGGATGAGGACAATGGGGGATGGGGGGGGGACGGAGGGTGGGGTGGGAACCTGGTGGAGGGGGGAAGAAATGAGGAACCTTTGTAATAATATGAACAATAAAGATTGCTTTAAAAAAAAAAATTAAAAAATAAAAAAATAAAAAAATAAAAGATCTTTCAAACAAAAAAAAAAAAAAAAAAAAAGAAGCCAGCTCCTAGATTGTGAGAGGGATATCGCAGGGATCAGGCCTAAACTGGCAGTTGGATATCCCTTGAGGGGTCCCAGAATTGAGAGGGTGCAGGCTGGGCTGAGGCGACTTCCTTCCCTCTAGCCCTCCACCCTGTGCACAAATTTCGTGCACTGACCCTCTAATATTAACTATATTAACAATTATTTCTATGTAGGCATATCCATGTTTTCACTAGCATAAAGACTCTTCAATCATTATAATAACCTTAAATGATCTAAAGTATTTTAAGAGAACTTTAAGTCATGATAATTGGTACTGTTAAATTGCAGTGCAATAACGTATGTTATTCTACTTTCAAGGAAAACCTGCTCTACATTCTATAATCTCTTATAGGAGATGAATTTCACTTTTTCAATTTCAGATATATGACAATTAACATTTTTAAGTTTCTTTGATTCCTGATTACTAAAAGGCCCATTAGTCAACACTGTCTCATTTATTTTCAAATAGAAAATGATAGTGATTAAAATCTATACCCTTACATAAACTAATAGGCTAAAAATATCCCCCAACATAAAGGAAGTTAAGCCAAAACAATGTAATGCAAAATAATTTTTAAAATATATTTTTATTGATTTCAGAGAGGGAGAGGGATAGAAAGATAGAAACATCAATGATGAGAGAGAATCATTGATTATCTGCCTCCTGCTCGCTCCCTACTGGGGATCAAGCCTGCAATCAGAGCATGTACCCTTGACTGGATTGAATCTAGGACCCTTCGGTCTGCAGGCTGATGCTCTGTCCACTGAGCCAAACCAAGTAGGGCAATACAAAATTATTTTAGAAGTTTGAATGTCTCATCCAGCATTAATGATTTCTGCCTCTCCAGAATATCAATATTGCCACCTGCTGCAGTTGCCAGAAAAGTGAAAGGAGAAAACTCCAGAGAAATCCGGAAACCATAGATCCTTTTAAGTCTACTGAGCTTGCTAAACAAATTAATACTGTTAACCCTTGTAAATAATAATAATTACTATCATTAGGTCATGTTTAACTAATTTGAGTTCTTGAGAGAAAGGAGGTAGATTGTTAGGATTATATAGGTCAATTCATTTGATCAAAAAATGAAATTTTCACTATATAAAGATGTAATTTGCACATCTGAATGCATATTTATTTTGGGTGTTAAGCAGAGATGTATTATGAATGAGATGTATACAGCAGAATAAACAATTGAGCCCAATTATACCCTCTGCAAATTGCACTATTTATGTCCAAAGTATTGAAATTTATTTTCTCTGTGAAAGCTCATCCAAAGAAATAATTACAAAAGCAATACGAACCTTATGGAAATAAATATATAGAAAGTAAAGTTACTTTCACCTTGAGATCCCTCCACATCAATGGTGACTGTTGGAAGTTCCTTCGCTGATAATTCCAGTGCGACTTGTAAGTCTCTCTGGTAGAGTTTGTCATCTAAAGCCATCCTAGAGTAGACACGCAAATAATAATGAGTTTTTTAAATTATTGATCTCAAACAGAAAATTTGAAGTTTTCCTGAATTACTATTTAAGAGCGGCTAACCTTACAAAAATGTTTTTAAACAATAATTATGACCATAATCGACCTTTAAGGATGACTTCTAAAATGTCACAATGTCATTTTATATCTATCGGAAGTTTTGAAATAGGAGCAGCATGTGCTGTACACTTACTGTTTCCTTTTACTGTCTGTCCTTTCCACTAGTTCCACTCAGGTGGGAAGCACCAGCTCAACACAGAATAAAGACTTGGCTCAAACATAATTACCCCTTAAAAATCTTACGTGACCTCACCCACACGTCCTTAGATAGCTCTTTTAGGTCTTATATTTAATGTAAAAACATTTAATTTGTTCCTCCCAATCTAGACTTTGACAAATATTTCACCAAGTACTTACAAGTACTGTGTATGAGGCACTGCACTAGATAGGATACAAAAGTTCAGTAACACCTCGATATAATAGACTAATTCAGGTGAGGGGGTATCTGTTAAAGCTGAAAGTTCATTATACAATAAAGTAGGTTTTCTGAATGAGTATGTTAAAAAATTGACAAATTACCTGTTTTTTACTTAGGTAGACGTGTTTGTGTAATTAAAATTAAGTATGTATGAAAAGTTTAATTTCACAGAAAAGTATTTGTAGGTTTACTGTAAGTTTAAATTTATACTGGATAGGTCTAGTAAATGTGTGCACTCACAGTCACTGCGAGTAAAAAAATGTAAAGGGCTGGGGCGTGGCTTAGCACATATGGGAACATCAGCCTGCACACATTAAAACTACTGCAAAAAGTCACACCCTGGGACAATAGAGCCAATTTCCTCGAGAAATACCATGTGATCACGTTCTAATCATTCCTAGAACACTGTTTACAAGTGGTGACTCTTAGATTTAAATATATAGACTAAAGATGTACATATGTAGTATTGATTTATGTCGGTGAAATTACTACGGTTTTGTCCAACATATGGCCTATTCGCTAAAATTTGTTAAAAATAACCATGAATTAATAACAAAAATTAACCTGTTATTTAATTATGAGCACATCTTGGTTAAAAGCATTTTAAAACCAACAAAGTGTTCATTTGCACATATGACATATACATTTCAGAAATTTTTGTCTGTTAAATCTGAAGTTTGTTAAATCGAGGTCTGAAAAATCAAGGGTTTGCTGTACCATCAAGGAGTCTGCAATAAATGAGGGTGAGGAAATAAGACAGACTTATAAATTATCCCATAAGCAGATTATTATGTTCCCTATTCAAGATGGTGAAAAGAGCTATGATGTGTAAGAGGAAAATAAATCAAAAACAGATAAGGAAAGATTGCATGAAGGAGGAAATACTGGAGTATATCTTGAAGAATTTATTTTTTTAAATAGCAACTTTGAGATGTAATTCACATAGCATGAAATTCATCCTTTTAAAGTGTACAATTCAGCAGTTTTTAGTGTATTTACAGTTGTGAAACTATCATAACTTTTTTATCACCCCAAAAAGGTATACATTAGTATTTACTCCCCATTTACCTCTACCCGGCAGCCACTAATCTACTTTCTGTTCTTATGGACTTGTCTATTCTGCACTCTTTGTGTTAATGGAATAATAAAATATGTGGCCTTTTGTACCTGGTTTCTTTTCATCAGCAAAATGTTTTCAAGGTTCATCCATGCTATAGTATACATCACTACTTCATTTTTGTTGTTGGAAAATACAGTATTCCACTGTCTGAATATACCACATTATCTTTTCATCAGTTGATAACATATTTGAATTGCTTCCATTTTGTGGCTATTCTGAATAATGCTGCTACATTCACGTACAGGTTTTTGTGTAGTCATAGGTTTTTATTTCTCTTGCTTATATGCCTAGGCTGGGTCATATAATAACTGTGTTTAACATTTTGAGAAACTGGTACTCTGTCTTCCAATGTAGCTGTACCATTTTATATTCTCAGCAACAAATGGAGAGTTCTAATTTCTCTGCATCCTCCTTAACACTTATTATTGTCTGTCTTTTTTTTATTATGGCCATTCTAGTGGGTGTGGAGTATTATCTTATTGTCATTTTGATTTGCATTTCTCTGATGACTAAGGATGTTGAGCATCTTTTCATGTGCTTATTGGTCATTTCTGTATCTTTTTTGGCAAAATGTCTATTCAAATATTTTGCCCATTTTTTAAAAATATATTTTTATTGATTTTGTACAGAGAGGAAGAGAGAGGGATAGAGAGTTAGAAACATCGATGAGAGAGAATCATCGATCAGCTGCCTCTTGCACACCCCCTACCAGGGATGTGCCCACAACCGAGGTACATGCCCTTGACCAAAATCGAACCTGGGACCTTTCAGTCCGTAGGCCAACGCTCTATCCATTGAGCCAAATAGGTTTTGGCTATTTTGCCCACTTTTTAAACTGTATTATTAGTCTTTTTATTGTTGAGTTGTAAGAGTTCTTTAAATATTCTGGATACAAGTCCCTCATCAATTATATGATTTTCTCTCCAATTTGTGTGTTATTTCACTATATTTAAAAGGTAGTCCAAGAAGCTCAAAAGTAGAAACAAAAAAAGAGAGAGAAAAAGGTAAAGAGAATGACATGGACTACATTTCTCTTTGATAATTAACTTTTCTCATACTTGTAGCAATAAATCATTACATGCCCCATTTTCCATATTCCTCTTCTAGTCTTCTAATCTCTATACAACGTGTTTTGAGCCCCTCAGGACTTTCCTCACTCTCTCTTGGTACTATTGGAATTCCAGAAATAGTATAGAAACTGTAGGATTTTCTCACTGCTGAACAAGTCTTACCAATATAAAGAGATAATACCTTTTATCTGCTGAAGACTGTTTTTAAATTTTATAAAACTATCCTAACAAATATAGTTTTTAACAAAGTAGTCTTGTAAGACTTGAGAGCTTCAAAGACAGGTACAAGATCCTATAAAAGTAAGCTATAACCACCAAACTTTCTAGGTATGATTACCTTAATATTTAAATGGATATTTGCTTACATACTTGTGAATTTCTTTTTAAAAAAATTTTTTTTAAATCCTCACCTGAGGATATGCTTTATTGATTTTTTGAGAGAGAAACATTGATGTGAATGGGAAACATCAATTGGTTGCCTCCCTTATGTGCCCTGACCAGGGATGAAACCCACAAGCTAGGTATGTGCTCTGATGGGGAATTGGGAATTGAACCTGCAACCTTTTCATGTATGGGATGACATTTCAACCAAATGAATCACCGAGCCAGGATTGTGAATTTCTTTTTTAAGTCAGAAAATGATTAACAGTACAACCCTGTTCTCCTACAGGCGCTAAATAAAACCATACCTATGACTTTGCTCAAGCTCTCATTTAAACCAAGAGTTCGAATCTGTTTCTCTCTCTTCTTAAATTTAAATTCTTTATTGTTTAAAGTATTACATGATTCTCCTCCCACCCCCCACGATCAATTTCTTCCCATCTGCTCCTATCCCCCAGCACATGCCCTGACCCCCCTACTGTCTGTGTCCATTGGTTATGCTCATATGCATGCATACAAGTCCTTTGGTTGATCTCTTACCCACTCACTCCCACCCTCCCCCCAATCTTCCCTCATAGGTTGGACAGTCTGTTTGATGCTTCTATGTCTGTGATTCTATTTTTGTTCATCAGTTTATGTTGTTCGTTATATTTCACAAATGAGTGAGATCATGTGGCATTTATCTTTCTCTGACTGGCTTATTTTATCTGTTTTTCTTTTAAATTAATGTCACATATTTACTGCATATCTTACCTCTCACCTTTTTTTAGGAGTTTTTTCCTGTAATGGGATGTCTTCCTTCTGGAGATTCTTCAATTTGGGTTTTGGTTTTTCTAGTTTTAACTCGTTTGGTGTTCTGGATTTCTTATTTAAAGGTCCAGTTGCAGAAACAAAATCATCATCATCTATGTGTGAATAAAAATAAAAGAATATATAAAATCACTTTTTCTAAGTAAGAAATAAAATTATTTTCTTTGCAGTTTTGAAACTCATTATTATGTTTGTTCAAATTAGAAGGTTAAGCAAATTATTTAATTTCTGCAATTTAAAAAATATAGTTGGCATATTATTTGTCTTTATCCTCACTCATGTTTAATTTTATTTTAGTGAACTTTATTTATCAAAATGTCAACCTATCAAAAACCAAGTCACTAAAAAGCTGGTATATCTCTGTTGCACTCAACATAAAACTGCTGCTGTAGCTTTTAAACTTACACATGACACATGCATGCATACTTTCAGGGAATATGTAGTATTAAAAATATACCTTAGTGTATATTATGCTTCCTCAGACAAGACTTCCCCCACACCTACCCTATGTAATGTTTGGAACACAAACAGCAGTTTATAAATATTTGGTGTGAGATAGATGAGAGTGATAAAAAGCTACAAGTTACTTATATATGAGGCAAAATGCATGAATTCATGCATGGGTGGGTCCAGGATGGGGTGCTTGCGTTGTCGCCATGGTGATGATGCAGGTGTTCTGCACCGCCCCAGCCTCTCCAGGCCTCTAGGCAGCTTGGGAAGGTGGAAAAGCGGCTTCGGGTTGGAGCGAAGGTGGTGCCTGCAGCCAAGGGAAGGCCCGTTTTTGCACGAATCTTTGTGCATCAGGCCTCTAGTATATCTATAATAATAAAAGCGTAATATGCTAATTAGACAGGCTATCCTTCCACACGTAGCCAGGGCTGCAAGAGGAGCCCCTTCTGGGTAGCAGAGGGAAGCCAGTGTTAGCAGCCGGGGAAAAGAAGGCCTACTCTTGCATGATAGGCCTTTCCTGCTGGCCTGATACATCTGTACATTTGAATGTGTAAATTATCTACACTAATAAAAGCCTTAGGGGAAATCAGGGGAGGGCAGTTGGGGGCAATTAGGCTGATAGGCAGAAGTGGTTAGGAGCAATCAGGCAGACTGGTGAGTGGTTAGGAGACAGCAGTTCTGGATTATGAGAAGGATGTCCAACTGCCAGTTTAGGCTCAATCCACCTAGAGGTCCCAAATTGGAGAAGGTGAAGACCAGGCTGTGGGACACCCGACCCCATGCACGAATTTCATGCACCAGGCCTCTTGTATACATATAAAAGGCTAATATACCAAGAATCCCCTCAGAAGTTTGACCGGGAGACTGATCGTTCGCTATGACATGCATGTGCTGACTACCAGAGGGTGGTGTGGAAGGAAGGAAGCCCTGGCCAGCAGCCAGCAGCTGGGGAAGGGAGTCCCCAGCAGACAGCTAAAAGGCCCTGATTGGCCCTGATTACCTGCCAGACTTAGGGACCCTACCTGTGCTCTAATTTTATGTGCGAGCCTCTAGCAGTCTATATTATTTTCTCCTAAGTCTTAGACCCACTTAAGGCTATGCCCAAGACAAAAAAAAAAAAAAAAAAAAAAAAAAAAAAAAAAAAAAAATCCAATCCCAAAACAAAGATTCCTTCAAACTTCAAAGTTACTAAGTATTTGATTTACAAAAATCTCTTATGGTTTGAGAAGTACAAAACCTGCTTCAAAGTATAAGATAGTCTAATCCCATATTTACTGAACACTTTTTATTAATTAAATTGGGATGATACTGGTTCACAAAATTATACAGGTTTTAAATGTACAGCTCAATAAAACATAATCTGCGCCCTATATTGTGCGCCCATCACCGAAGCACTCTCTTCCTGTCCCCATTTCCCCCACCGTACCCACTTCTACCTAACCCCCACCTCTCTTCCCCTTTGCTTATCTCCACACTGTTCACTGAAGTCTGTGTCTGTGTTTGACTAAAATTCCCTTAATAGGAGAGATAAGTAAATAGGGCATAGCTTAAGCCTAATCTTTCTTCAAAGTCTTGTTTTATTATACAATTAACGGACATTTCCCATGATATTCTATAACACCTTTGTGTTTCAATAAAAAGGAGTCTATCCTCCAAAGTGAGGAGTCAAACCTCATTTTGAGAAACGGATTTGCAGTAGTTTTGACCTAAAGAACTACCTTACCTGACCCTCTCATTTATCACTTATCTACATATTTCTCATCAATGTAATTATCAGCATAATTATCCCAAATGCTTAAAAAATCACTTTTCCAGACCTACCTCATATGCAATTGGGTAATATACATTTACATTTACTAATATACACATTTATACATTTCTGAGGAAATAAATTTCCAAAACTTTAAACAAAATAAGAATCACTACGTACCATCGCTTTCGGAGTTCTCAAACTGTGAGTAATTGACTGGCTTCTTATTCCTATAACCAACACAGAAATTTTTCATTTACACATATATGGAAAAATAATTTCCTTCCTCTAGGCCAGTGGTCAGCAAACTCATCAGTCAACAGAGTCAAATATCAACAGTACAACGATTGAAATTTCTTTTGAGAGCCAAATTTTTTAAACTTAAACTTTTTCTAACGCCACTTCTTCAAAATAGACTCACCCAGGGCGTGGTATTTTGTGGAAAAGCCACACTTAAGGGGCCAAAGAGCCGCATGTGGCTCGTGAGCCACAGTTTGCTGACCATGGCTCTAGCCACTAAATGAAATAGTCCTCTGCCAAATTCCCAAGTGTGAATGACCTAGTATGTCAGTTGCTCTTTTAAGTAAAAACAGTTTTCTATGAAAGAGACTAGTACAGCTCACAATTCAATCTTACAAGTGGTTTTCCTTAAGACAATTGTAGAAGTGTTCTGTGCATGCTTCTAATTTCCTCATACAGAATATTAAAATGAAGAGTATTCTTGTTACTCTCCTACTCTTTGGAATTAAAGAATTTGAGAGCTGAATATAGAAATTCTGAGATTGAATAATAGTAAAATCAAATCAAAACTTAAAACAAAGTATGCTCAGCCTGACTGGTGTAGCTCAGTGGTTGGGCTTAGACCTAAGAACCAGGAGGTTGCAGTTAGATTCCCTGTCAGGGCACATGCCTAGGTTGTGGGCTTGTTCCCCAGTGTGGGGCATGCAGGAAGCAGCTGATCAATGATTCTCTCTCATCACTTATGTTTCTATATCTTTCTCCCTCTCCCTTCCTCTCTGAAACCAATAAAAATATATTTTTTAAAAGTACGCTCAACGGTTGAACTACCTATACATATAAAAGCCTAAGCGACTGGTTGACTATTTGACCAGTTGCTATGACATACCCTGACCACCAGGGGGCAGACATTCAACATAGGAGCTGCCCCCTGGTGGTCAGTTCGCTCCACTGAGAGTGCTGCTACACTGGCGAGTGCCACTGTGGCAGTGTGAGCCTCTCCCAATCGGGACTAAATGGGCACAAGCCCAAGGCAGGTAGAGCTGGGCCTGGATAAGTGAGAGTGGCATGGTGCCAGGCCAGGTTCAGGCTCCTCCCCAGCCACCTCTTGTGGCCCTGCAGGCCATACGAAGGGACCCCACTATTGCACAAATCCATGCACAGGGCCTCTAGAAATGATATAATTCTTACTGCTTCATCAAACACACTCTTAAGAGAAACTGGCCTTTTCTATTTTTAATTTATTTTTTACTATGTGTAGCAGTAAGAGATACAATGACTACTCCCACAGTTTGGTGCCGTTGCCTTGATTTGTGCTAAGGCACCAGCTCTTTGACCACCACTACAGTGCAAATGACAGAACAATTAAAAACAGCAAGTGCCCTTGCTGGCTTGGCTCAGTGGATGGAGCGTCAGCCTGCGGACTCTAGGGTCCCAGGTTCGATTCTGGTCAAGAGCATGTACCTTGGTTGAGGGCACATACCCAGTGGGGAGTGTGCAAGAGGCAGTTGATCAATGTTTCTCTCTCATTGATGTTTCTGACTCTCCCTCTCCCTTCCTCTCTGTAAAAAAATCAATAAAATATATTTTAAAAAATAAAAACAAGTAATGGCTTAGTATTATTATGAAAACAGTTTTAACCTCATAAACCTCCTGAAAATGTCTCAGGGACATGGAGGAGTCCACAAATCTTTGCTTCTTGGATGTTAAACTTAACATGCTGAAAACAGTACTCTTTCTAAAAAAATATATATTTCTATTGATTTCAGAGAGGAAGGAGGAGAGATAGAAAGATTAATAATGAGAAAGAATCATTAATTGGATGGCTCCAGCATAAACGCCAACTAGGAATTTAACTATGACCTCCTGGTTCATAGGTCAATGCTCAACCACTGACCTATGAACCAGGCCAAAACAGAATTCCTGAGCCCCACACTTCCTGACCCTGTTCCTTTTCTTAGTCTTCCCCACCGCACCAGTACAAAGATATTCAGTAGTTCAGACCAAAAATATTGTAAAATCATCCATGGTTCTTTTTCCCCTATCTCCCCATCAACTTCCTCAGTAAGTTTTGGAAACAGTACCTCCAAAATATATCCCAAATTCATCTGTCCCATTTCATGTCTACAGATAATAACATCCTAATCCAAACCAATATTCAATGCTATAATAGCCTTCTAACTGGTTTTCCTGCTCCCCTCTGGTTACCTAATCTCCCATTCGTTCTCCACCAGTCAACTATATTATAGAGCCAAAATTAGATTTCATGTGTTCATCACTATGTGGACGTCCCCGCAGGACTATTTAAAACTATTGACTTCCATTGCACTTAATAGAAAATCCAAACTCCTTTATAAAGCTCTGGTTCCTACCTATTTCTCCGACCTAATCCCCTACAATTCTCCCCAATGCTTGCTAATGCTACCACTTTAGTGTCTTTCTTTCTGTCCCTCACACACAGTCAAGCTCAGGGCCTTGGCCCTGTTCCCTGGTTTGCCCCAGATTTTCATTGGCTACATCCTTCTTGTCGTACTTCCTTGGTTCTTATAATATCTCCTCAGAGAGGCACAGTCTAATTACCCTATTGAAATCAAGGCTTTCCTCTCCTCCCTCTTTGTCACATTTCCATGTTTGGCCCCCTTAACCTCACCCCTTGACTAGAATGTAACCTCCTGCACCTAGTACAGTAATGCATAGAAGTAAATGTATTCCATAACTTTATTTAATGAATGGCTGACCCTAGCTCTCAACTGTTTAGAGGAATAGTTTCAAATACAGAGGATCTGGAGCCAGGTGGTTGAGGTGTGAGGGTTATCCTGCCACTCTCTAGCTTTGTGACTTGGGTTAATTGGCTTTTACGCCTAGTTGAAATCGATAAAACAGGGATACCAAAGCACTATAGTGATGAACACATGAAATAACACATAAGTAGGAGCTCGGTGAGATGCAAAGCGCTGATCCAATGCTACCACAACAGGGTCTTATTTGAATGGGGTTGGTAAAAGGAAGGGCAGCAGCTACGAAGGGAGGCAAGGAGACAGAAACTGAGAGGGCACTTCTGAGGAATGGGAGGGGGGAGAGGGGGAACTCAAGGGAGGATGGGAGTTTTCCAGTAACTGTCCATCCTACCCTCCATAGCGACCTCCGTTCTACTGGGCCCTCGGGTCTACAGAGTCTTCCTGCTCTTTCCCCCATCCCCGCCGGACGTCCTGAACTCCTCACCTCACAGGCCGCACCATGGCTACCCTCCAGGCTGGAAATTTGCAGCTACCAAGTTCTCACAAGCTGCAGAGGCGACTTCAATTCCCGCCCAAATCCGGACCCGAGCTCTCCGCCCCCCGCCACCAGCCCTCCAATGAGCCACGGCCATCCTTGCGCAGGCGCACACGTCCGGGGCGGAGTGCTCACTCCCTCCTCCAGCCGGGGCCTTTCCGCTTCCGGTCCAGCGGAGCCGAGTTTGTGCTTTCCCGCTACGCTTTCGCCACGAAGGTGGCTTTTGCGCGGACTCTGACATACACCATAGCAGTAGAAATACACCTCCTCACAGTTTTTTAATGGCTACATTGGCACATGGTGGAACAAAGGGGCATTTAGGTAGGGGAATTTTCTACCGGGTGCCGGGTAAGGGAAAGGTGGCAGGCGAATCGGCGGAAGCGGATTAGCTGGCGGATTTGCAGCTGACGTTCCCAGTGCTGTGTCTTCTATCTTGACAGATCCCTGAGTGCAGACCCTTCCGAATTCAGAACTTGGGGAGCTGAGTTCAGAGGTAAGAGCAGGGATGCCCCTTCAGAAAGAACCCCCCTAATAGAGTTGCTATCCCCCCTCGGTCGCCTGGAGCTGCGCGGCCCCGCAGTCTGCCCTCCGAATCTCCGCTGTTGATTGAATGAGTTCGATCCTGTCCTTCCCCTCTCGTCCCATCCCATTTTGCACAGGAATCATTTGCTTATTTCACCCTGACGTTATTAAAAAAAAAAAAAGTGGGGAGAGGGAACTAAATAATCATTTGTAGAAACAAGTCTAAATGTTGAACCGATTGAAACTAAAGTTAATGGTTATAATTTACCAAAAAATGTTTAGCCAAGGAAAGAAGAGCAGAACGAGTGTTCTAGGTAAAGAAAAAGCATCCAGAAAGGTTGGGAAAAGCATTCAGCAAATTTGTGTCTTTGGGAAGAGGGGTGCAGGTGCAGGTGCTGGTGAGGGAAAAGCCGGGAAATATAAGCAGAGGCATTGTAAACTGGTTTGACACCCCCTCCATGCACGAATTTCATGCACATGGGCCAATAGAATTGTATACAAGTGTTTTAAGCAGGTAAATAACAAGATATCTACTTGTTTGAAAGATTACTGTAATTTGTGTCGTGTTCTATTTTGTCCCAGAGTAGTGTAAGAACTGATTTGATGAGGAAAACTCTAGAGACTCTTAAGTCTAGGAAGGAGGCTGACAAACCTTTACAGGGTTGATTCTTACTCTGTTTTACTGGATTTTCTTCTTTTTGAACAGCATCCAGTTTGCCTTTTGGGATATTTTATGCTTTCTATTTTCTGTGTATCTTCCTCCCACATAAAAATCTTTCCAACACCCATCTCCTTTCCCTCTGCCCCCAATCTGATCTCATACAACATCTAAGAATTCCAAGATTACTTCTTCGTCCCTGATCTGTTTCTTTGATTTTTTAAAAATATATTTTTATTGATTTTGGAGAGGAAAGGAGAGGGAGATATAAAAATATCAATGATGAGAGAGAATCATTGATTGTCTCCTGCAAGCCCCACACTGAGGATGGGGCTGGCAACCTGGGCATGTGCCTTGACCAGGAATCTAACTGTGACCTTCCTGGTTCATAGGTCGATGCTCCAGCACTGAATCAAGCCGGCTGTGCTGTTTCTTTGATTTTGTGTTCACCAACTATTTCATAAATGCTATTATCCTATTTTCCCACCTATGCATCTCTTCCCCAGACTCCTCTCTGCTCTTTTCTCCCTGTTCTTTTTTTGTTCTTGAGAATCCTGCCTGGAAATGCAAAGTTCTCTATGGACATATTTTTCCTTAAATAAAGCTTAAAGGAAACTGTTCTCATTTTTAAAAGATGCACTTCATTTTCACTACAAAGATGAAAACACAAGGATAAAAGTAGAAAAACTAGAATAATTGGCTTAGAGTCACACAAAACCTCTGAGAAGTGGAATATTTTCTTGGAAGTGGTAAAGCAATAATGTGGTATATCATGTTTTTATGGACTTATAACGTGCTGCTTTTTTGTTAGTTCTATAGATATCCTGCCAAAGAAGATGAAGAAAAACAGAGAAAGATTCTGTAACCGAGAGAGGGAATTTGTGTATAAATTCAAAATAGGAAGTCAGTGCTTAGAACTGAGGGTGCCCCTCCAATTTCCTGTTCAAGAGAATGCCAGTTACTTACATGGACGCCTGATGCTGCTGCACAGTTTGCCATGCTTTATAGAAAAAGGTGAGGACTGATTTTTAAAGCTACTTTATTGTTTATCTAGAGTCTCTGACATTACAAGATTCATATTAGAAAGCATAAAACTAAGAAGCATTGGAAAGAGCCATAAAATATAAAGTGTTTAACTGCTTTAAGAATAAAAGACCTTTGTTTTATTTAGTGATTTTTCCTATAACTCTTGTAGTTGTTAATAAGGGAGGTTAGTATAAAAATTAAATCATATAGTGAAAAACTAGTTACAAAGTCTGGAATAGAATTTTTAACCTCTTCTTAGTTGAATGGATTCATAAGGCGTTTCAGCTGTCAGTTATTATATTATAGAATTATATTACTAAATGCATTGCCCCTTTAATGATCTGGTTCTCAGTTCCTAAAATGTCATGGAAGAGAAGGAATATAAGTCGTTGAATAATTTTTGCTTATCTAAATTAATTCCATAAAGTCATCTATATTAAACCATTTTATTTTATTTTATTTTATTTTTTAAATATATTTTATTGATTTTGTACAGAGATGAAATGAGAGAGATAGAGAGTTAGAAACATCGATGAGAGAGAGTCATCGATCAGCTGCCTCTTGCACACAATGGGGATATGCCCGCAACTAAGGTACATGCCCTTGACCAGAATCGAACCCGGGTCCCTTCAGTCCCCAAGCCGACGCTCTATCCATTGAACCAAACCGGTCTCGGCTATATTAAACCATTTTAAAAGCCTATGTCCTGCTTCACAGATGAAAAAAGAAATTTAATTGAGAATGTGTTGGATCATAGAAAGTTAGAGTTAGGGAACCTAGTAACGTTCATTGTACAGATTAAGGAAATCTGAAATAAAAAGGTTAAAATATTTGCCTAAAGCAGTGGCTTTCAAAAGTTGTTCCCTGGTCAGGAGTAGTAGCATCACCTGGAAACTTGTTAGAATTGCACATTCTTGAGCCCCATCCCATTCTTGCTGAATCAAAAACTTCAGGTAGCATGCTACAAGCTACTTCAGTAAGCCCTCCAGGGGATTCTAATGCATGCCACTGGTTTAAAGTAACGTGGTGGTCAGAGCCCACACCAGAACACAGGCACACTGACTTCTCTCCCAGTGCTCTTTCCATTATATCAGTTTTTTAAAGTATTGTCTCTAAAATTGGATTTATATAGCATCTGAATTACATCACTTTTAATACACTAATCATTCAATTTCTTCAAATTCAAAGAATGTAACAATACGTATATAGGAAACTTTTTCATTTAAATACAGTAACCTTCAAACCCTTGAAATGTGTAGAATTTTTACTCTATGTGATTTTTTCCAACTTAGTTTCAAACTGAAACAACAAGCTTAAGAAATTATCATTTCAAATTGGTGTCAAGGCTATACATGAGTCAAGAATTTTGACCATTGTCCATGCAGTAACCTGTAATAGTAAAGAAAAATGGTTGTGAAAAGACCTTGTATGTATATATGCATAACCCAGCGATGCCAGCAGTGGAGTGGTGAGGGCCTGAGGGGGGAGAGTTGGAGGGGATCGATGGAGGAAAAAAGGTGACATATGTAATACTTTCAACAATAAAGATTTTTTTTTAAAAAAAGAAAAATGGTTATGAAGTAGATAAATTATCCCCTAAGCTTATTTTATTTTATTTAGATACTTGGGGAGAAGGGGGGCGGTCGCCTCAGCCTGGCCTGCACCCTCTCCAATCTGGGATTCCTCTCACAATCCAGAATCACTGGCTCCTAAGCATTCACCTGCCTGCCTGATGCCCCTAACTGCTCCCCTGCTGGCCTAATGGTCCTAACTGCTCTCCTCTTGGCCTGATCCCCATAACTGCCTAATTGCTCTCCCCTGCTGGTCTGATCCCCCTAACTGCCTATCTGTTCTCCCCTCCTGGCCTAAACCCCCTAACTGCCTATGTGCTCTCCCCCAATGCAAGAGTGCTGAGAGCTCTCCGCCAAAGCCCGCCCCCATCCTGACACCCGCCTCTGGATCGGGATGCACCGAGGGCCTGCATGCACTTCCAACAGGTGTGCGTGTGGAGGGGAGGGCTTCCACCTGTGGCAGCCTCATGTACCATGGGTGCAAATCCCCACCCCATCCCTGCCCACCAGCTCCTATGGGCACGCAGCCTGGTCGTGCTGTGACATCATTAGGACCAATTAGCATATTACCTCTTTATTGTATAGATTGTACTCAATAAAATAATTTAAAAATATACATATTTTATTGATTTTTTACAGAGAGGAAGAGTGGTGGGTAGAGAGTTAGAAACATCGATGAGAGAGAATCATCGATCAGCTGCCTCTTGCACACCCCCCACTGAGGATGTGCCCGCAACCAAGGTACATGCCCTTGATCAGAATCGAACCTGGGACCTTTCAGTCCTCAGGCTGACGCTCTATCCACTGAGCCAAACCATTTTGGCTCGATAAAATAAATTTGACATTGGAATGCTTAGGTAAAATGTTTCTTGTTTTTGTCTGGATTTTGCTGATGATAGCATTTCTTAACCCTGTTATAGACTTAAAAGAAGCTCTGATCCGGTTTATAGAAGAAGAATCCCTCAGAGATTATGATAGAGAGGCTGAAGCATCACTGGAAGCTGTGAAATCTGGTGAAGTAGATTTACATCATCTGACAAGTACATGGGCCAAAGCTTATGCTGAGGTAAGAAAATAGATCATATTATAAATTTCAAGGATATTCTGGAGTTTGATGAGGATTTTTAAATTGCTAACATAATACTGAAACAGGTGTAGAATCCTTTTTTCTTTAATTACAAAAATTTATTCCATAATATGTACTATCTATATATTTTAAAGGCTAATATACTAAGTGTCTGACCGTCTGACCAGACTCAATAACACTCACTGACCACCAGGGGGAAGGTGCTCAGTGCAGGAGCTGCCATGAGACATGGCACTGCGAACCTGGCCCCCACAAAGCAAAACTTAGCTTCCCCCCAGTGAGACACAGGCCCTGCCATCATTCTGGAGCAACAACCCACCAAATAGCAGCCAATGCTGCCAAAATCCCATGGCGCAAAATGCGGCCCACAGCCCAGCCCAGAAACAGTCACTATAATGTGCTGGGTAATGACGTCTCATAGCGATGCCCAGCTTCCTCTCCCTAGTGATAACTAGCCTCCTTGCTTCAGCCCAGTTTCTTCAGCCCAAGAACACCACTTGTTTTATAGCCAGGTGCAAACATTTCACACTTTAACCAAATGTCTGTGAAAGGTTTTCCAGTGCCTTATCTCATTTGATCCTCACAGAAGTCCTGGGGTAGGTAGATAGGAGACTCTGTGGAATCCTATTTTCTTTTCATTAGCCGGAAAAACAGAGATTTAGAAAGTTTAGAAACTTGACCCGAAGGAAAAGAAGAAATGGTGGACCTTGAAAATGACTTCAGATTTTCTCACTGCATAGAATATAGTCAAATACTGCTGTGGTTAAATATTTTTCCCTTTGTTCTCCCTGTGTAATCTACACTATTAATCTGCTTCATGTTGTTATTTACTGCTGTGTTGCTCACAATTACCTGAAAGAGAAGTTGGCGTGCTTAACTGGGTTGGAAAAGGTTTAGCTAAATCAGAAAGCAGGTCTATGGTAATTAAGCAAGTTTATTCTATATCAATAAAAGGCTAAGTTGACTCACACATGCACAATACATATAAAGCTCTCGCTGATGCTAATTGCTGTATGTTTCAATCTGTCATTGTTGATTATGAATTTGATTGACGCTATTATTATAGAGAAAGGACGAATTGCTATCCTATCTAATAAAAGAGTAATATGCAGATTGACTGTCCCTCCAACACACAAGATGGCTGCCCTCATGTGGTCAAAGGTGGCTGCCCCCATATGGACACAACATGGCTGCTACAAGATGGCCAGCAGGGGAGGGCAGTTGTGGGCGATCAGGCTAGCAGAGGAGGGCAGTTGGGGGCAATCAGGCCGGCAGAGGAGGGCAGTTGTGGGGGACCAGGCCTGCAGGGGAGGACAGTTGTGGGCAATCAGGCCAACAGAGGAGGGCAGTTGTGGGGGGATCAGGCCTCTAGAGAAAGGTAGTAAGGAGGGACCAGACTTGTAGGGGAGGGCAGTTGGGGAGGGACCAGGCCTGTAGGGAAAGACAATAAAGGGGAATCCAGGCCTGTAGGGGAGGACAGTTAGGAGGACCAGGACTGCAGAGGAGGACATTGGGGGCAACCAAGCCAGCAGAGGAGGGTAGTTGTGGGGGATCAGGCCTGTAGGGGAGGGCAGTTGTGGGGGATCAGGCCAGCAGGAGAGGGCAATTGAGGGTGTTCAGGCCTGCAGGGGAGGACAGATTTATATACATTTTACTAATTTTCTTTAATCTCTGACACTTCTATTACAGAGAAAGGGCAATAGCAATATTAAAATATTTCCTCTAATTAATTCCCTTTTAATGTGCACAAATTCCATGCAGCAGGCCACTAGTTTTGGTATAAGTATATCCCCATATTCTATGGAACATAATTATAATAAAAAATTATTTGATGTTTATCTGAAATTCTAATTTAACTGGATGACCTGTATTTTAACAGGCAACCTTAAGTTAGCAGTAGTAGCTTATTTTCATCTGGTTTACTTTTGTTCTCTTACTTACCTTCTAACTGTTTTTAGATAGTTACATAACGTCATCATTTTTCCATTAAAATAATATATCTTATTTCATAAAGTCTTAACATGCCTTTGATCATAATACATACCATTATTTTATTTACTACTAAGAACACTTCTATTTTTAAACTATCAAATGTACAATATTACTGATTTTTGAGAGATGAATAATAAAAAAATATGTATCTTAGAATTGATGAAATACAGTATATTCAGAATCTCTTATATGCCAGGTATAAAATAATGAGCAAGACAGACAAAAGTGAAATTTACATTTTAGTTAGAGAGCCAGATACAGGAATATATAAACAAACAAATAAATTTAATAATTGCAAGCTATAATGAATGAATTATATTCCACTTTAACTCAGTCTGTGAGAATTTGAAAGAAATCAGTTTTATGGGGTCATATTTGTTATTCTAAGCATTTTGCTCTGTGCCCAGTAAGGTTTCCTAGTTTACATAAAAGATGACACTATGCTCATATATGATTTTAATTATTAAAAACAATTATTTTGTTAAAAAGCATATATCTGTGACAATAACAATTTAAAGAATTATAATGGTTCTGCTGATAAAAGGAAATAAACTTGTAAGATGTATTAAAAGAATAATTTCATTTAATTTATTCAACCAATATTTTTATATCTCTAAAATGGGTTAGGTGTAGAGCTGAGGATAAGTCTTTGCCCTCAGGAAGCATACAGTTGAGTAGGAAGATACAAAGAAATCCACAGACTGTTGTAACCTGTGCAGTCAGTGGGATCATGTAGAAAAGTTGGGGAAGAAGGAATGGTCAAGAAAGAATTAGTGAAGAAAGCAGTTTCTCCTCTAAGGGTATTCTTATTTTGATATAATATCTGGAGGCAGAACCTCTCCTCTCCCTGACTTTATGTAACCAAAGAGAGAACTTCCTGAATACTAGGTCAATAAATGCTTATTTGTTTATCTTTTTTAAAAAATATATATATTTTTATTGATTCATCAGAGAGGAAAGGAGAGGGAGAGATAGAAATATCAGTAATGAGAGAGAATCATTGACCAGCTGCCTTCTGAGCCCTCAGCCTGGGCATGTGCCCTTGTCTGGAATCGAACCTGGGACCCTTCAGTCTGCAGGCTGACGCTCCATCCACTGAGCCACACCAGCGAGGGCTGTTTATCTTATTATAAAAAACTAGAGGCCCGATGTACAAAATTTGTGTAAGAGTAGGCCTTCCTCCGCCCTCTTGGGTGGCCATCTTGTGTCCACATAGGAGCAGGATCTTTGACCACATGGGGGCAGCCATCTTGTGTGTTGAAGTGATGGTCAATCTGCATATTACTCTTTTATTAGATAGGATAGAGGCCTGGTGCATGGGTGGGGGCCAGCTGGTTTGCCCTGAAGGGTGTCCCAGAATAGAGTAGAGGTTCTCTTGGGGCAGCCTGGGTGAGGGGCCTGTGGCAGTTTGCAGGCTGGCCACACCCCCTAGTGACACAAGTAGAGGCCTGGTATCTGGGATTTATTTATCTTCTACAATTGAAACTTTGTAGCCTGAGTGGAGCTAAGCCTCCTGCTTACTCCATGGTGGCAGCCATTTCTGTTGGAATTTATTTATCTCCTGTAATTGAAACTTTGTAGCCTTAAGCGGAGGTCAAAGCAGGCCAGGGAGGCTGAAGTTTGGCTTCCTTCATAGCTGGGGAAAACCCTAGCCTCCTGCGCTCTCCAGCTCCGTGGCTGCTGCCATTTCTGTTGGGATTTATGTATCTTTTATAATTGAAATTTTGTAACCTTAAGTGGAGGCCTGGGCCAGTCAGGGTGTGTGGAAAGCTTGGCTTCCTCCATCACCAGGGAAACCCAAGCCTCCCTCCTGCTCTCTCTTTGGCTGCAGCCATCTTGGTTGGGTTAATTTGCATACTTGCTCCTGACTGTCTGGTGGGCATGGCTGGTGGGTGTAGTAGAGTGATGGTTAATTTGCATATCACCCTTTTATTAGATAGGCTAATCGCCCTTTCATTAGCTAGGCTAATAAAAGGGTAATATGTAAATTGATCGAATGGTGGAATGACCAGTCCTTATGATGCACACGGACCATCAGGGGGCAGATGCTCAATGCAGGAGCAGTCTCCTGGTCACTCTGCTCCACAGTAAGAGTGCCGCTAAACCACAAGCTGAGCTGTTGGATGGCTGTCAAGCGCAGTGGTGGTGGAGGGAGCCTCTCCCAACTCTGTGGCAGTGCTAAGGATGTCTGACTGATGGCTTAGGCCTGCTTGGGGACATCCCTTGAGGGTTCCCAGACTGCTCAAGAGGGACTCCCTCAACCCCCATGAGGGCATGAATGTTGTGCATCAGGTCTCTAGCATATTATAATATAAAAAAGCAAAGGTCATCACCAGTCCCACTTCCCTGAAATAGCCATCATTAGCATTTTGTTAATCACATCCTTGTGTGTGTATATGCTATTTTACAGAAATTGGGTTATTGCATAGGAGTCTTTTATTTTGTTTTTATTGCGTACACTTCCCATCTCTTCTTCCACATTACCCCCTCCCCATCCTTGCCTTCAGGTAATCCATGTTAACAACTTAGTTTATATCTTTTAATTTTTGTGTGTGTACTCAGATAATCATAAATAACCAATATATACACATATATAAAAAGACATCTTACTATCCTTGTCTGATGTACAAAAATAGAATCGTAATATAATAGTACATGCTTTTTTAATAGTGTGTTAAATAAAAATCCTACATCGTGATTTAAGAATGTCTGTGTATCATTTGTAGACCACATTAGAGCACGCAAGGCCTGAAGAGCCCAGCTGGGATGAAGATTTTGCAGATGTGTACCATGACCTAATTCATTCTCCTGCCTCTGAAACGCTCCTAAATTTGGAACATAATTATTTTGTTAGTATCTCAGAACTGATTGGTGAAAGAGACGTGGAGCTGAAAAAATTACGAGAGAGGTATTTAAAATTTTTGCATTATCATAATTAAATGTTACATCATCAATTGTGTCCTATAGAACTTGTTTTTATTTTGTTATAAAATTTAAGAGTAAAATAGAAAAAATTCTTTCATATTAGAAATTAATTTTCTTGTGTGTTTAAATATGTAATTTCAATCCTCTTAAGTTTATAAAAATTCTCAAGTGATTTACCGAAATAAATAATGGTGACTTTATATATTCTATTTTTCATAAGAATAGCTTACTTCTGATCAAAGTGTTTTGGATGCTGTCTTAGTCAGTTCAGGCTGCTATAGAAAAATACCATGGGCTGGGTAGTGTGAACAATAGAAATAATTTCTCATTCCTGGTTTATATTATAGATCGTACCTTCTTGATGTGTGCTCACATGGCCTTTCCTCACTGTGCGCTCCTACTGTGTCTTCTCTAGAGGGAGAGCTCTAGCCTCTCTTCCTCTTATTCCCTTATGAGGATTTCAACTTCATGGCCTTTTCTAAACCTAATTACCTCCCCAAAAACCCTGCCTTCAAACATCATCACATTGCAAGGGGCAGGTTAGGGTTTCAACATATGAATTTAGAGGGACACAAACATGCAATTCATAACAGATGCCCTATCTCATTTATCCTTACCACAACCCTCGTGTTACACCCATTGTGCAGATGAAGAAACTGAGGCTTTAGTAACTTGCCTAAGGAAAAGCTAGAATTTGAAACCAGGAAGTCTAACTCTAAAGCTATTAAGCACTTATGCCATACTGCTGCTCCCTATTCAGGACCTATTTAAAACCTTGTTGTGACTAAAGTCCATAGTCTCAGTTCATTTTGTAAGCTTATTTATATCCATGAGGGGTGGGGGGGAAACAAAAACACTAGTAATATTCCGAGAAATGTTGATTAGATTTAAATTCATTTTGTATGAATTACTTAATACAGTATGCAAACAGTGTTTTTACAATCCATTTTTTTCTTCAGAGTAAGTAAAAATTGCTAGCATTATTTTAAAGCATTACTTTCTAGACTGCTTCCTACTAATTCTATAACTAGTAATTCAGGACACACTTCTTCCAGATAACCCATTTTGATCTAGCTGCCTCTAATTACATTAAGTTAAAAACATTTAAGACTAGGTATATGTGGTATTAAGATAATTTTTTAGTGTTGCTGATGTAAAATTTCTTTAATTGTGAAAGTATATTATTAATAGGAAAAGTTACATATTATGAAATTAGTCCCAAAGAAATAAATTTAAAATGATGTACTGGTTTGCTTCTGGCCTTCATTAGCTTCTCATTAGGAACTTTGGGACTAGCAAGATGAGAATAATGTGTTATTTTGAGGATTGTCATCATTTTAAAAAAACTTAAAACACAGAAATCATAGCAAATATTTAATCATTTTTCCTGTGGCTACTGTCTTTTGTATACTAAATCAGAGTTCCTGTATTGCATAGATTTGTACGTTTTCATAATAATTCAACTCCTCTGGATCTTTTATTCTTATATCCAGTAAGATATTAGAACTGTTTCTGGATCAAAAAGAACATGATTTTTTTATATATTTGTCACTATGTGTTTGAATTTGCTGATTAGATGTTTTGAAACAGTTTATTTTTCTCTAGATGGGATACCTGTAGTATGGGTAGTTGCTACTGGGTAAACAGTTTAACTTGTGTGCCTGGGGGAGAGAAGCATTCTGTTTTCTTGTTCTTTATAAGGTAGCCAATAAAATTGTGAACATATTTTTAAGACAAGAACAAAATAAAAATTGGATTTTTAAATATCCTATATAATAAAAGGCTAATATGTAAATTGTCCCCTTGGGAGTTTGATCGCTTGCTATGTGACATGTGCTGACCGCAGGGGGTGGCGCAGAATGAAGGAAGGCCCCAATCAGCCCTGATCACCCACCAGGGACCCTATCTGTGTATGAATTTTTGTGCACCTACCCGTGTACGAATTTTCCTATCAGAGCTTCAAGTAATATAACTCATTCTGAATTTGTTCTTGGATCTCAGGTTTTCTGGGATTATAGTCATTCTGCTTATTAAGGTATATGAAAAAATTCTCAACTTGGCAATCTATAGTTTATATTATTAGCTATTACTGTCCTTTTATTCAGCTGAGAGCTACTTAAATTGTGGCCCACTTTGTTGCCTAGTCACTATACCTCCCAGAAAACTTCAATTGTGGCCATCAGTATTCTCTGACTTTCACCTTATGGGAAGAATTAACTTACTAATTTGTTGCATTTATTGAAACTTTATACTCTTTTTTCTCTATCCTGAAATAGTTTTTTAGTAAAGTTTTGTTATGCTGTTATTTTAAAATATATTTTTATTGATTTTAGAGAGAAGGATAGATAAAAGCATTGATTTGAGAGAAACATTGATCAGCCACTGCCTGCATGTCCCCCACTGGGGATTCAGCCCACAACCTGGGCATGTGCCCTGACCTGGAACCAAACTATGACCTAGTCCATATGTTGGCACTAACCATTAGACGCACTGGCCAGGCTGTTTCATTATTTTTTGAAACATCCTTTGGCCAAACTTCTCGATAGGGCTTTGCTTTTTTCCTTTCTAAAATATAATCATCATTGGAATACATTTCTTTTTTAAAAATTTTTTATTGATTTTAGAGAGGAAGGGAAAAGGGAGAAAGAGATCATTGATTCGCTGCATCCTACATATCCCCATCTAGGGATCAAGCCTGCAACCCAGGCATGTGCCTTGATAGGGAATTGAATCATGACTTCCTGATTCATAGGTGGATGCTCAACCACTGAGCCATGTCAACTGGACAATATATTTCTTTTTAAAACAGTTTTATAGTTTATCTTTCACATATCCAATCTGTTAGCTTAAAAAGAGGAAATTTAAGCTATGTTGCTCTTAAGGTCCATAATATATATCATAAAGGTGAACAGTATACTTATGGTAAGTTGGAATTCACTAGTATTTGTGAAATTTTATCCAAAATTTTGCTTAATTCATTTATCCAATGTGTGAGCAGAATGACACATTTTTCTATATATCCTTTTATTTTAATTGCATTTTATGTCTTTAAAAGACAGTTTTAAGCACAGCATCAGTGCAGTTATTATGATCTTGTTTTTCCCTTTGCTCTTCATCATAGAAAATATATACTGTATTATTAATACAGGGTGGGGCAAAAGTAGGTTTATAGTTGTGAGTACATGAAACTAAGTTTATTGTATTATCACTTATTAATTATAGTATTTTTTTATAGAAACAATCATAGACCTACTTTTGCTGTATCTTGTATATCATTAGCTACTTGTGTTTCTGACACATTAAAGGTAAAAAAAATATTCGTGCCGAAACCGGTTTGGCTCAGTGGTAGAGCGTCGGTCTGCGGGCTGAAAGATCCCAGGTTTGATTCCGGTCAGGGGCATGTACGTTGGTTGCGGGCACATCCCCGGTAGGGGGTGTGCAAGAGGCAGCTGGTCGATGTTTCTTGCTCATCGACGTTTCTAGCTCTCTATCTCTCTCTCTTCCTCTCTGTAAAAAAATCAATAAAATATATATTTTTTAAAAATATTCGTGACCATTGGTTGTATTTATATGCATGTATACAAGTCCTTCGTTTGATCTATTATCTCCCCCAGATCTTCCTCCCCTCCCCACTGTAATTTGACAGTCTGCCTGTTGCTTTACTTTCTCTATCTCTGAATCTTGGTACATCAGTTCATAAAGAGCTTTATTGTCCACCAATGAGTGAGGTCATGTGGTATTTCTCTTTCATTGATTGGCTTATTTCACTCAGCATGATGTTCTCCAATTCCATCCAGGTTGCTGCAAATGATGAGAATTCCTTCTTTTTTATGGCAGCATAGGATGGGTGGAAGGGAGGGGGGTAAAAAAAAAATCAATAAAATATGTAAAAAAAGAAAAAAAAAGAAAAAAGAAATACAAATGGAGCCCTATTCCTGTGGCTCAGTAGAAAAAAATAAATAAATAAATAAATAAAATTAAACCAAAGAACTTAAAAAAAAAAAATATTCGTGACATTTTATTTATTGAGTTCTTATTTATTTGTCTTTCTTTTTCCTCACTGGAAATTTGCTTCTCTTGGCATCCTAGACTCCAGATATTTTTTTAAAAATGTAAAAATGGCAGTGATATTTTTTATCCACTAGAGGGAACATGTGTAATGTAAAATATTAATACATTCATATGGAAGTTTGTATTTATAAATATTTAGCAGTTATTTCTGTTTTAAATAAAAATCTTATTTGCTAGCATAATCTTCCCCTGACCTCTAGTAGTTATTAAAAAGTTAAGGGGTCACCTACATTAGAATTAAGTGGGGACTAAGTGGTGTAGAATATTTAATATTAGAAGGTATATATAGAAATGTGTAAATGTATGATGTATGAATACATTTCATTTTACCATATATGTAAGTATCTTAATCAGTTGTTATAAAGAAATATGAACTTGCTTCTAATAGCATTTATTTAAATTAACTAGAATGAAATTACAGCAGGGAGGGTAGGGAGATCTGAGGAAGATAAGAGATCAACCGAAGGACTTGTATACATGCATATAAGTACAACCAATGGACACAAAACTCTGGGGAGGGAGGGCATTTATGGGGGGGGCAATGATATATGTTCAGAGATAATAATTTAATAAAAAATTTTAAAAAATAAAAAAATAAATTAACTAGAATGATGTAAAATTCTTTTAGTTGATGTCTGTTTCATTCTTTCTAAGTTTGTTTAAATGTGTTTAGAACAAACTTTTAACACATTTGTATTGAAAGATCATTTTTAATTTGAAAATTTGAATGAAATTACTTATTAAAATATAACATTACGGAAAGGCAACAAACTGGAGGTGTAAGCTCACTAAACTTTTACCAAGTAAGAACACCCATGTAATCATCACCCCGCTCAAGAAATAGAGTATTTCCAGCACTGCCAAAGGCTTCCTGGTGTCCATCTAGTCACTACCTATATCCCCTATAAGTAACCATTATATGAACTCATAATGCCATTGATTAGTTTTTCCTGTAAGGAAAACTATTTTTAATGTTTGCACTTTATTTATTTGGATAGATGAATAAGGTAAGACTAAAGCATATTTTTAGTAGTATTTTATATTTCTCTGTAAAAAGAACTTGTGACTTAATAGCAATTTGATTCTTAGAGCCTAATTGGCAGTTTCTAGTTATAAACTAACTTTCAAAGATTAGAGTTACTTTAACTCGTGTACAAATAAATAGAAAATGTGTTTAAACTGGAATTGCAGAGTATTTTTGAGGAAATCTGCAGATGAAATGGGGTTTGGACTTTTTAAACATTAGCCATGGAAATTGAAAGATGACCTAGATTTTTACTGCTTTCATTTTGCATTAAATTTAGATTAAAATTTAGCTTCACAAGGCCCTTGTTGGGTAGCTCAGTTGGGTAGAGCAAAAATGTGGGTTCGATCTCCAGTCAGGGCACATACAAGAAGCAACTACCAGGTGTACCAGTTAATAATGCGGATTTTGTAATAAAAGAAAACACAATGATTTCAAGAGAAACATCAAAAGTACTTTATTCAAAGTAATGTCTATCGCTAGCTACACATTTCCCCCTTCTTTCAGGTAATTTGTGGATACCATCCCAATAAAACTTTACTTGTTTTAAGGCAAACCATTCAGAGACCCAATTTTCCACTAATTTGTACATTTTGAAGTGCTGCTCAGAAAGTGTGTATGCCATCAAGTGGTAATCTGAAAGAGCAAGGTCTGGTGAATATGGCAGGTGGGTTAATACTTCCTAGGCAAGATCTTTGAATGTGTCTTTAACTAGTTTTGAAGTGTGTGAGGAAGCAAAATTATTTTGCGGTGTCTTCTGGCACATTCTGGTTATTTCACTATCAAAGTGTGGTTCAAATTGGTTATTTATTGTCGGTAGTGATCAGTATTAATTGTTTCACTTTTTTTTGGAAGCTCATAATACACAACACCTTTCTGATCCCACCAAACCAGAACATTGTTTTCTTCTCAAAACGATTTGGCCTTGCATTCAATATTGTTGGTTGATTTGAATCAAACCATGATTTTGTGCATTTAGGATTCTCAAAATAAATCCACTTTTCATTGCCAGTCAGTTCGATGCAAAAAAGATTTTCGTGCCATTGAAGCACATTTTCTGGTGACTTTTCGGTTTTCCATTTGTCTTTCCTTCAGTTGATGTGGCACCCATTTTGCTTCCTTTAAAATCTTTCCCATTGTTTGTAAACTATCGGAAAGTGTTTGCTGAGCAGCATTTAATCTTTCTGCAAGTTTTTGAGTTTGGCATGCAACTTCATCCAATAATGCTTGTAATTGTTGGTCTTCAAACTTTTTCGGTTGACCTGGACATTCTTTGTCTTTCATATTGAAATCATCACCCTAAGCTTCCTGAAGTGTATGGTAACTTTTAGTAGCACTTTTCTTCAAAATAAAGTAATGAATTAAAACTTCCTACAAATGCTCCTTTTGGCGCACAAAATTCAACATTTTTAAGTGTAAAAATATCTATATGTTAACACCTTCAGAAAATTTGACATGTGAAGTTTTGAAGCTTGTTGTCAATACAACAAAAGAACATACATATCAAGTTGAGTATATATCAACATATGTGTAACTCCAACTATTGAAAAAAATCCGCATTATTAAGCAGTACAGCTATAATGAATGCATAAATAAGTGGAACAACAAATTATATATTTTTTTTCTCTCCCTTCCTCCCTCTTTCTAAAATCAATTAATAAATAAAAATTTAGCTGCACAAATGATGTTGTTAATATATGAAATTATCATTATTATTTCCACATCTTCACTTAAAAGGCTTCATTATGTTTTCCAGGTATTATAGTTGCCATTCTTGGACATATTCCTATAAAATAAATATTTTATTTTTACTTTCTAGAGAATGTTCAGTGAATCTGGAGTGGTCGTATTACCTTAAAATTCTAACAAGTATATCTGATCTTATTTATGTTTTAGACAAGGTATTGAAATGGAAAAAGTGATGCAGGAGTTGGGAAAATCACTGACAGATCAAGATGTAAATTCACTGGCTGCTCAGCATTTTGAATCCCAGCAAGTAAGTAAAGTACAATGGATTTTAGATATGCAGTTACTTTTTTTTTTTTTTGCTTACTTATTTTCATAAAATAATTAACTGGTTGGTATATTGTCTATGTTTAGGACTTAGAAAATAAATGGTCAAATGAATTAAAACAATCAACTGCCATCCAAAAACAAGAGTATCAGGAATGGGTGATCAAACTTCATCAGGACCTAAAAAACCCCAACAACAGTTCCCTCAGGTATTAATCATGTATTATTCTTACTATCGATAGATGAAAGTTCACTGTTTTTAATAATTTATGTTTATTGTAAAATTGAACCTTCATAGTTGTAGATATTTTTAAATTACCAAAGAAGGATCAAGATAATTTTATGCTGTTTTAAAAAAATCTTTATTGTTGAGAGTATTATAGATAACCTTTTTTTCCCCCATTACCACCCTCCACCAGGTTCCTATCCCACCTCAGGCCTTCACCACTCTATTATCTGTCTTCATAAGTAATACATATCTATAATAATAAAAACATAATATGCTAATTACACTGGACATCCTTCTAGAAGGGAAACCTGGGTGCCTGCCTGCAGCTGGAGGGAAGGAAGCCCAGGTCCCAGGTGCCAGAGGGAAGCCAGTGCCAGCAACTGGGGGAAGGAAGGCCTACTCTTGCACAAATTTCGTGCATCAGGCCTCTAATATTCATATAAGATCTTTGGTTAATTTCTTCTCTTCCCTTCCTTGTGAGATTTGTCAGTTTGTTCCATGTATCTGGTTCTATTTTATTCATCAGGGGTTTTTTTTGTTCATTAAATTCCTTGTTTGTCTATTTTGATCATTAGATTCAATTGTTGATAAATATGTATTTATTGCCATTTTATTGTTCATATTTTTTTCCTTCTTCTTCCTCTTCTTAAAGAATACTCTAGCATTTCATGTAATAATACTTGTTTGGTAGTGATGAACTTCATTAGCTTTTCTTGTCTGTGAAGCTCTTTATCTGACCTTCAATTCTAAATGATAGCATTGCTGGGTAAAGTAATCTTGGTTGTAGGTTCTTGCTCTTCATCACTTTGAATATTTCTTGCCACTCTCAACTGGCCGACAAAGTTTCTGTTGAGAAATTAGCTGATAGTCATATGGGTGCTCCCTTGTAGGTAACTAACTGCTTTTGTCTTTATGCTTTTAAGATTCTCTCTTTGTCTTTAACCCTTGGCATTTTATTTATGACTAAAGGACCGATGCATGAAACTCATGCAAGAGTAGTCATTCTTGACCCTGGCTGCCAGCACCAGCTTTCCTCTGGCACCTGGGACCCAGGCTTCCCTCCCAGCCCTGGCTTTGTCCAGAAGATTGTCCAAAAGGACACCTGGTGTAATTAGCATATTACGTTTTTATTATTATAGATGTGTCTTGGTGTGGGTCTCTTTGGGTTCCTCTTATTTGGAACTCTGTGCTTCCTGGACTTGTAAGTCAGGATGGGGGAAGTTTTACTGGATGGGGGAAGTTTTCTGTCATTATTTCTTCAAATAGGTTTTCAGTATCTTGTTCTCTCTATTCTACTTCTGGTACCCCCATGATGCAAATGTTGTTATGCTTGAAGTTGTCCCAGAGGCTCCTTACACTGTCTTCATATTTTTGGATTCTTTTTTCTTTTTGCTCTTACGATTGGGTGTTTTTTTGCTTCCTTGTATTACAAATTATTAATTTGATTCTCAGAATCCTCTAGTGTACTATTGAAACCAAATAAATTATTCCTTATTTCTGTTAGTGTATGCTTAATTTCTGACTGGTCCTTTTTCATCTCTTTGAAATTCTCACAAGATCCTTGAAAGTCTCATTAAGTCCCTTGAAGCTTTCATTAAGATCCTTGAGCAACCATATGACCATTGTGTTGAACTCTATATGTAGTTATTTTCTTTTTTTTTCTTTTTTTTTTAATCAATCTTTATTGTTCATATTATTACAAAGGTTCCTCATTTCTTCCCCCCTCCACCACGTTCCCCCCCACCCTGTAGTTATTTTCTTGCTTTCATTTTTAGTTCTTTTTCTTGGGATTTTTTCTGTTCTCTCATTTGTGACATGTTTCTTTTTCTCCACATTTCGGCTGCTTCCCTGAGTTTGGCTGCATTAGGTAGAGCTGCTATGCCTCCTGGAATTGGTAGCGTGGTCTTGTGTAGTAAGGTGTCCTGTAGAGTCCAGTGGTTCAGACGCCATAGTCACCTGAGTGGGGTACTCTAGCAGTGCCCCTGAGAGGGCTGTTTGTACAGATTTGTTGTAGTTGAGCCTTGATTGCTGTTGGGTCACTGGGAGTTGGGCCAATTGGCTGTGAGGACCAGCTGTGGCTACATTGGAAGAGCTGCTATGCAGGAGACATTCCTATGGAGCAGGACTTGCTTCACTGGGGCTTTGGTGCTCACTGAGACTGCCCCTTGAGTGTGTTGCAATGGATGTGTAGGGTTGTAATTTGATATGGGTCCACTGGTTCTGGGGCCTCTTTGGAGGAGCTTCGGAGCAGTCCTCAGATGGCTGCTTGGAAGTGCTCAGGTGAGGCCAAGCTGTGGATCAAGGTAGGTTGGTGATAGTGCTGAGTCTTGGGCACTTATTGATAGCTGTGGGGCATGCTGATGCTAGCTGCTACTTGTTTGAAAGATTTTAGGAAAGTCTGAAGCCTGAGCCAGGACAAGACATTCATATGGAAAAGCTGCTGCAAACAGCTGTGGTGGGTTTGCAAATTGGATGGTTTTTTTAAAAAGCCTTTTATTTTATAGATTTAATGTGGGTTATTTGAGAAGAGGATTGATTGGTTGCTTTAAAATAGTGGTTTCTCCCTTAACACATAGCCTTGTAAATCTCTTAGGTGTATATAACTAAATACTCCAAGTACTATTTCTTGTTTCTTTAAAGTGGTTTCCTTCAGTGCTATAAACATTAGTTGAATGCATCTTAAATGCTAAGTATTCTCAAAGCAAAAAAATAAAAACATTACCTGACCATGTGAAGCTTATATTCTAGAGAGACTGGAGACCTGTAAATAAAATAAAACTATATAGAGTGATACGTACAGTAATAGCATGTGCAAAGTATAAAAATAGTATAGAGGACTTTTCATGATTTATAACTTGCATGGTTTTTTATGGCTTAATTACATTATATTTCATAGATAACCCTAGAGCTTGACAATGCTTTATTTCCTGGCTATCCTACCTAATAATAGAGTAATATACAAATTGACCATCACTCCAGCACACAGGATGCTCCCCCCCCACTGTGGACACAAGTTGACTGCCACAAGATGGCTGGCAGGGAAGGGCAGTTGTGGGCAATCAGGCCAGCAGGGGAGGGCAGTTAGAGGGCACCAGGCCTGCAGGGGAGGGCAATTGGGGGGACCAGGCCTGCAGGAGAGATGTTAGGTGTCAATCAGGTTGGCAGGGGAGTTATTAGGTGGTGATCAGGCTGGCAGCCAAGAAGCTGTTAGGGACAATCAGGCAGGCAGGAGAGTGCTTGGGAACCAGTAGTCCTGGATTATGAGAGGGATGTCCAATTGCCCGTTTAGACCCACTCTTGGGATCGGGTCTAAATGGGCAGTTGGACATCGCTTGAGAGCTCCCAGATTGGACAGGGTGCAGGCTGGGCTGAGGGACGAATTTTGTGCACCAGGCCTCTAGTATATTCATATTTGAGAATAACTTTCTTCTTTCAAGTCCTAAAGTATATTCAATTGGAAATATAGTTAGCATAGTATAATGATCCTATTTCTAGCACCAACTGGTATCTTACCTAATAATAGATAAACATGCCAATTGACTGTACCTTTGCGTGCCCACAGCCAATCAGGAGTGAGTAACCAACAAAGATGGCAGTTAATTTGCAAACACGGCCACTCTGGGCCTCTGAGGAGCGTAGGAAGGCGGAAAGGCAGCTCCAGACCAGAGCAAAAGTGGTGCCGGCAGCCAGGGAAAGGAAGGTCTGGCGCGAATCTTCGTGCCTCAGGCTTCTAAGTATAGTATAGACATTTAGAAGTAGCATTTTATTTGTGTAATGGCAGTCTCCCCCATTAGTCTTCCTTTGAAGACAAAAAATGCATCTCTTTTTTAAACTGTATACCCAAGTCCTTGGCAAATGTCTGGCTCTTGATACTGGCACATAAGATATACTCAGTAAATATTTATGGACTGGGAACAAACAGGTAGATGGATGCATTATTATTAAACTGTTTGCCTGATATCTATTATATATATCCTCCTATCTAAGTATCATAATCTTTCATTTGCCTCATTGTTTTCCCTAAGATAAAATCTTAGAAATATTTAAATAGTTTTTGTAATTAGAAATAGTATAACATTCTTGACACTAACATATTTGACTATACTCCTCATTTCAAATGAAAATAGTGATCAATATAATAAAAAGGGGGAAGGTCAGGAGAAAGCTGGACTGGGAACATCTGCAAGATACAAAGATGTTTCTCAAATTGCTGGTTGCAGTCTGCTGGGGAACAATCTAGATCTTTTACTTTCAGACTTTTAAAATAACAATAAAATGGAATGGAACAGAGTATAGTAGAATAGAGGAGAAAGTACCAGAGCACATGTATGAAACTTTCTGTAAATGAATATGTATATTGAGCCAAATGTAAAACATATTCTGTATTTTGTGGTAAAATAATTTTTGCTGCAAAAATTATCTCACTTTGCTGCTATATTTATAGAAATTCAATCTGTAAGATTAATTCCATATGTAAATATTGACCTCTGGCTGCTGCTCATTTCAAAAAACAAATATTCCCAATAATATTTTTATTATGAGTCTGTTAGTTTGCTTTCCTATTTCGATAGAGGTTTTCTTGGGCAGGAGAAATCTGTTTTCAACACAATTATTTATGTATAGAACTCCTATGGAAATTAATAAAATGTGTAATTTATTTTTATTTATTTTTGCTTTTTTTAAGTAAAATCTATTGGAGGAAAAATTGCATAAAGCAAAATGCACCTATTTTAGGTTTACATTTTGATTAGTTTTGACACACTTAAATTAATCATGAACCATCACAGCAATCAAGATCAGCATTTCCTTTTTACACCTTTCTTTTTCTTTTTACACCTGTATACTTAATCTTCTTTTCCCTTGCCCAGGGAAATCTGATCTGATTTCTATTCCTGTAGTTTTGATTTTCAGGAATGTCATACAAATGGAATCAAACTATATGTAGTAGCAGTTTGTGTCTTGCTTCATTCACTTAGCATA